TCTGCAAGAACTTCAGCACCACCACAAACAACATTCAGTCGCGCATCACCAAGACCTTCACCAAGGTGCATTTTAATGCCGGAACACGCGGGCCTCCGATGGAGCTGAGCGAGGGGAGGTTGAGTTGGACTGTGGAACTCCCTGCCACTGCAGGCAGCGAGGGGCACTGTCTTGGATGGCCTTAAAAGAGGGTCGGGGAATTCATGGCAGAGGGCAGGGCTATTGAGGGGTCCCAGGACGTTTCTGAGCACAATTCAAAGTGTTGGGGCTGACCTTTAAAGCCCTAAACGGCCTCAAAGGTCCAGGATGCCTGAAGGAGCATCTCCACCCCCATCGTTCTGCCCGGACACTGAGGTCCAGCTCCGAGGGCCTTCTGGCGGTTCCCTCATTGCGAGAAGCCAAGTTACAGGGAACGAGGCAGAGGGCCTTCTTGGTGGTGGCACCCGCCCTGTGGAAAGCCCTCCCATCAGATGTCAAGGAAATAAAGAACTATCTGACTTTTATAAGACATCTGAAGGCAGCCCTGTTTAGGGAAGTCTTTTATATTTTATGGTGCTTTTCATATTCTGCTGGGAGCTGCCCAGAGTGGCTAGGGAGGCCCAGATGGGTGGGGTATAAGCCATAAATAATAATAATAATAATTGTTGTTGTTGTTTTCAGGGTGGCTCTGCTTTGCCTCCCCAGTCGGAGGCAGCGATGCTTCTTAATCCCACTTCCTGGAAAACGTAGGAGGGGAGAGTTGCTCTTGTGTTCGAATCCTGCCTGCAGCTTTCCTATAATAGGGCACTGGTTGGCCACTGTGAGAACAGGATGCTAAATGAGCCCCCTTTGGCCTGATCCACCAGCCAGGCTCTCCTTCTGTTCATATAATAATATATTTTATTCATACCCCGCCCTCCCCAGCCAAGACCGGGCTCAGGGCGGCTAACACCAGGCATAAAAACAATTGATTGAAATACAACTTAAAAACAAGGCTAAAACACAGCCTCATTTCAGCAGAAACTCTAAAACTTTTTGGAGGATGAAAATGTCAAATCTTCACCAAGGCCAACTGTCCAGACTGGTCCTAAAGGTAAAGGGTAAAGGGAGCCCTGACCATTAGGTCCAGTTGTGACCAACTCTGGGGTTGTGGCGCTCATCTCGCTTTACTGGCCGAGGGAGCCGGCGTACAGCTTCTGGGTCATGTGGCCAGCAGGACTAAGCTGCTTCTGGCGAACCAGAGCAGCGCACGGAAACGCCGTTTTTCTTCCCGCCGGAGTGGTACCTATTTATCTACTTGCACTTTGATGTGCTTTCGAACTGCTAGGTGGGCAGGAGCAGGGACTGAGCAACGGGAGCTCACCCCGTCGCGGGGTTTCGAACCACCGACCTTCCGATCGGCAAGTCCTAGGCTCTGGTTTAGACCACAGCGCCACCCGCGTCCCTTCCAGACTGGTCCTACATGGGCCAGAAAAAAGCCAGGGAAGACCCCAAGTGGGAGTTCCATCACAGGAAAGGAGAAAGGAAAGAGGGGGAGGGGATCAAGTTGCTTCCAAGCCAAAGGCCAAGGCGGGACAACTCTGTCTTACAGGCCCTGCGGAAAGGAATCAGATCAAAATATGCATTTTGGGAGCTCCCTCCCCTACCCCTGACTCCTCTCTCTCTCTCTCTCTCCTTCCCCCACTAGAGCTGGGTGGACGAGAAGACCCCCTGGACCACGCGCTACGGCTCCATCGCAGGGCTGGCTGAGCTGGGGCACGACGTGAGTAGCCTCAGAGCTGGCTATGGGCACGGCGGGGGCATCCCGGGGGGCAAGCCAGGCTCACATCTCCCCCCTCACTCTCTCTCCTCCTGCCTCCCCAGGTGATCAAGACCCTCATCCTGCCACGGCTGCAGGTGGAGGGGGAGAGGGTCCGCTCCGTCCTCGAGGGGCCGGTCGTCAGCAACATCGACAAGATCGGGGCCGACCACGTCCAGAGCCTCCTCTTGGTAAGGGGGCAGCCGGCGGGGTGGGGTGGGGTGTGGGGCTGCTGCCGAATGGTTTGCGTGCGTACAGAGAAAGAGCTGGTCCCAAGCACAGGGAGAAGCTGTGGGGAGGAAAATATAGGTCACCCATGTGGGGTAATTGATCGGCTGGAGCCCTAGGTCCAAAGTGTGGGGCTGGACAATCTCTCCAGCAGGAGGGGAACTCCCAGAAAAGTATTAAGGTCACAGAATCATGCAGCCCAGTGATGAAGCATGAGGAATGCAGTAGAATTGGTTGGAAGGGACACCAAGGGTCATCTAGTCCAACCCGCTGCAACGCGAGAATCTTTTGAACCCACAACCATGAGATTAAGAGTCTCATGCTCTACCGACTTAGCTGTCCCCTATATAGGCAGTTAGATCCTTTAAACATCTCATTTAGTCCGCTCATTTAGTCCGCTGCCCTTCTCTGCCCCTCTTGCAACGAACAGACCACACCGTTAGTAAGCTTAAACTCTTTACTTACAAACTTCAAAGGTCAGATTCATGTGTTACTGCATGCGGCAAGGAGGACAACATGGGTGGGAAATTCAGAAAAATATTTCTGAGCGCATGGTCTGGGCAGTGCATCAATCTCCTCCTGCGCAACTTCCCTGCGCTTGAATCCTGCTTGCTGGCTTGCCAAGGGCATCTACTTGGCATCTGTGAGGGCAGGACGTTGGAATAGGTGGGTCCCCTTTTTGCTCCACCAGCTTCAGGGCTCTTCTGCTCTTCCGATGGAACCTTCACATTCAGGGGCAGTTTCTCTCGATTCCCGGGTTCTTAGTTGCTTACGGCTGCCGCGAGGGTGGGATGCTGGGCTTGGGTGGTTCTTCTTAAGTCTCTCCTGCATTCTCCCCCCACCGCAGAAACACTGTGCTCCGGTCCTGGCGAAGCTGCGCCCCCAGCCCGACAACCAGGAGGCCTACCGGGCGGAGTACGGGGCGCTGGGCACGCTCCTGTGCACCCACGTGGTCAAGGCTCGCGCCCAGGCAGCCATGCAGGCGCAGCAGGTGAACCGGACCACCCTCACCATCACCCAGGTAAGGGGGGGCAGAACCCCCACCCCCAAGCACCCACGGGCTCCGGGTCCCACCCATGGCTGCGGTTCCCCTCTCCCTTCATCATCATAATAAATTTTAAATAAATATTTAAATTTTATTTAAACAGGCAGCCCTGTCCAGGGAAACTTTTAATGTTTAATAGGTTACTGTATTTTAGTGTTTTGTTGGAAGCCGCCCAGAATGGCTGCAGAAACCAGATATGCGGGTTATAAATAATAAATTATTGTCATTATTATTATTATTATTAGGGCCTGGAACAAGGGCCTGGGGTCTGTGGTGTGCACGCCTAGGATGCATTAGGAAGACTGGGTGCCATCTGTGCATGTGCAGAGTGCATTTGCCCTGCCATTGAAGGAACTCGCACTCGGTAGTGGCACCCGCCCTGTGGAACTCCCTCCCACCAGATGGGAAAAAACACCTACCAGACTTTTAGGAGACATCTGAAGGCAGCCCTGTTTAGGGAAGCTTTCCATATCTGAAGGGCTATTGTATTTTAACATTTTGTTGGAAGCCACCCAGAGTGGCTGGGGAAACCCAGCCAGATGGGCGGGGTATAAATAAAAAATTATTATTACAGTGGTACCTCGGGTTAAGTACTTAATTCGTTCCGGAGGTCCGTACTTAACCTGAAAATGATCTTAACCTTAAGCACCACTTTAGCTAATGGGGCCTCTCGCTGCCACCGTGCCACCGGAGCACGATTTCTGGTCTTATCCTGAAGCAAAGTTCTTAACCTGAAGCACTATTTCTGGGTTAGCAGAATGTGTAACCTGAAGTGTATGTAACCTGAAGCGTATGTAACCCGAGGTACCACTGTATTATTATTATTATTATTATTATTATTATTATTATTATTATTATTATTATTCTTCCTCCCCAGCCAAACGCTAGCTATAAAACAATTGATTGAAATACAGTTTAAAAAACAAGATTAAAATGAACCTGGGAGGGAAAATCTAACCCCGCCTGTGATCCTCTCTCTGTCTCTCTGTCTCTCCGCAGCCTCGCCCCACGCTGACCCTGTCCCAGGCCCCCCAGGGGGGCTCCGGCAGCGCCTCGCGGGCCCCCAGTATCATCAAGATGCCCGGCTCCCTGGCCCTCCCCATGCAGACGCTGGTCTCTGCCCGGCCGGCCACCCCCACCCAGCCCTCCCCGCCGCCCACCAAGTTCATCGTCATGTCCTCCTCGGCCTCCGGGACGCCCACCTCGCAGCAGGTGATCACGCTCAGCGGGGGCCCCGCCTGCACCTCCACCTCCCCCGTCACCACCACTGTGCCCAGCACCCAGCCCCTGGTCAAGCTGGTCTCCGGCGGGCAGGCCGCCCCAGCCCCCCCGTCTCGGGCAGCGTCCAGAAATACATCGTGGTCTCGCTGCCCGCCGCCGCCGAGGGCAAAGGAGCGGGGGCCGCCCAGCTCTCGCCCTCCTCCTCCTCCTCCTCGGGGGCTGGCGGCTTGGCCCTGGCAGGCGGCATCAAACAGGAGCACGTCGAGAGCCCCCCGCCCCCCGGCAGCAGCGCCAGCACCTCCGCCGCCACCGCCTTCCTGGCCAAGGCCAACGGGGCGCAGGGCTTGGTGCCGGAGTCCCCGCAGACGCCCTCCCTGTGAGGGAGGCCAGGCACGTCCCTGGATCGCAAGACAGCTGGGGGGGGGAGAGAAGGAGGCCGCAACACGGCACAGCACCTCCCCTTGCCCACTGCGTGCCAAGGAAGGGGGGCGACGGTGGCATCTCAACATCCTCTGCGTGACGTTAAGGGTGCTGTCTATTCTCTCCCCACCTTTGGAGCGACTTGGGGGCAGAGGAGAAGGAATCGAGACTCTTGCGTGTTGTTTTTTCTGCCTGCGAGCAGCGGGGCCGAATTGGGGGGGCGCGTGTGTGTGTGTTTGTGAACGTTGGGGGGGTCCCACGTTTGGTGTAGTAGGAAAGCCCCCTCTGTCCTTTTGTCTATGTAAATAGATCCTCTTTTAAGTTCCAATAAACTCGACTCTTCTACCTGTCTGTGAGAGTGGTGTTTGCCCTCTTCCCTTGTGGGATTCCCCCCCCCCAAAGAAATCTAGGATGCAGTAAAAGGAATCCCCTTCCTCTTGAAAGGCACAGGGAGATTGTGACGGCCACCTGGGCTTGGCAAGGCAGGCCCAACTCAAAGCAGGCAGCTGTGAGTGCGGCAGATGCATCTCCCATCAGAGAGTCCTAGACTTGGAAGGGACCCCGAGGGTCATCCAGCCCAACCCTGAAATAATAATGCAGGAATTGCAGCACGGGAATCCCCGACAGGTGCCCACCCGGCCTCTGCTGAGAAACCTCTGAGGAAGGAGAGCCCGCCTTCTTCTGAGGGCGCCCGGCCCTCTCTCCTACCTTCAGGAAGTTCTTCCTAACATCTGCTTGGGAGAATCTCGCTGGGGTGGACGACACTGCAGGGAGCCCAGTTCTCCATCTGCTGCTGCCGTGTGCATATGAAGCCCTTGCTTTTGCTGCATCCTGGCGCTTTCTTGGCACGCCAGTCCAGGGCGTGGGGGATCCTGGCTCCCCGACCGGTTCTGCCAGCTTCCCGTGGGGCTCCCTGGTAGGTCTGGATGTGGGCCTGCCCCGCTCTGCAAGCTCCAGCCTGCGCCTCCCACAAAGAGGAAGCTGCGCTGGACCCGCCGGGAGGAAGCAGGTGAGAGGCCTCACCTTTGCCCACCTGTGGGGAGGGGAGGGGAGGAGGAGGAGAAGTCCCTTGGGTGGGACCAGAGGCAGAGCGCCAGGCCTGGGAAAAGGGGTTGTGTAAAAGCACCCATGCCAAAAAGAGCCTGGGGCAGAAGCGAGAAAGGGGTGCCTCTGGAAGAACTTTCTGAGGGCGAGATCCTCAGAAGGGGGTGGCCTCTCCTTCGTGGGTTATTAAACAAGGGTTTGGGTGGCCAGGGATTCCTGCAGCGCATGGGGTTGGACTAGATGGCCCTTGGAGGTGCCTCTGCAATTCCAGGGCTGATTTTGAAGCCCCGCAGGTTGGACGCCCTCGCTGCCTCCGGAGATGGCGAGTGCCACCACTTTTGGCTGGCAAGGCTCCTCTAGTTGTCCAGCCCCCTGCGACGCACGGTGCCCCTCGCCTCCTCCTGTCGGAGAGGGGCAGGATCCGACCTGCCTTTCCCACGGACCCCTTCCTAGCCCCGCACCAAGGCCGTTTTTCGGAGGCGAGGCTTCCAGGACGCGCGAGTACCCGGGCGCACGGCGGCAACAGCCTCCGTTCCCCACAAACACGCGGACACGTCTGGGGCTCACTGGGCGACTTCTTTACTGACCCGGGCGGGCGAGGCCCCCCCTGGCCGCCTGACGGGGGGCGTCTGGCTGCACAGCTCCCGGAGCTGCTGGGGGAGCAGCGTCGCCTGTCCGCCCTCGCCCAGCACGCAGGGGAGCCAGCGCGCGTCGTAGACCACCTGCCCTCGAGGGGCGCCGCCGCAGCTCCCTTTGGGGACTTCGCCCTTGGAGTCCGTGCGCAGGATCAGGATCTTGGAGGGGCAGGGCGCGCGCAGGCGGCGCTCCCGAGGGGACGGCGAGCGGCTCAACACCTGCTGCCGCGAGCGCCGGTGCCGCCCCGACGGGTCCTCCAACTCCTCCGGTTGCTGCTGCTGCTGCTGCTCCCGCCGCCGGGCGCTGCTCGACGGCTCGGGGCGCTTCCCGTCGGTCCCGTCCCGCCTGGAGCCCCGACGGCTCACTCCGCTGCCACCGCCGCCGCCGCCGTCGAGGGCTGCCCGGCTGGAGCTGTGTCTGTGCGTCTCTGGACGAGAGGAGGCGCGGTGGGTGCTGCGCGCGCTCTTGGGGCGTCCGCCTTCTGCAAATTCGGGTGCGGGGGGGAAGAGAGAGAGAGAGAGAGAAAGGGTGAGGCCCCAAGAAGGAGGGTCCCCAAATTGCTGCTCCCTCTCTGTGCCCCCGTCCCAATTTGGAGCAACTCTGCGCACCCCCATCTGCGGACCTTTCCGTGCGCCAGAGGCACTCGGCCGTTCCGGTACCCAAAGTCACACCGGCCCACCGAGGGGAGGTTTTTATTGCATGAGATTTTTTTTGGAACTGCCTGTTTGTAGGAAACGGCGACAGCAACGCCCTCGAGCGGCATACCAGAAAAATATACCGTTACCCAGGGAAACGGGGAATAACTTGCAACCCGACTTTAATGCGCGCAGGACAGAATGCAATTTCTAAGTCCCTGGCGCCGGAAGTGGTGCCCTTGAAGGCTCCTGCCTGGTGTCAAAACGCAGGGAGTTCCGAAGTTGTATGTGCTGCCACACTAAATTATAGATTTCGTGCAAGGGAAGCCCCTCCAAGGGAGCACTGCAGGAAGGCGCTCTGTACATGCTTGAGAGCAGCCTGCCCTGTGCGCCTAACTCCAGCTGCTACTGGGCTGAGTTCTGCTGGGGTTGCAAGCCTAGGAAGCAGGGGCTGGTGTTTTCCTGCCTCAAGCACAACAGCAAAGACACACTTTCTCTCTCTCTCTCTGTGCATAGCAGCCAAAGTCAGCCAAGTCTTGGAGGTCGCGGGCCACAGGGAGGTTAGCTTGGCCTCAGCCAGAGCCAGGGCTTTTTCGGTCGTGGCTCCAATCTGGTGGAATGCTCTGTCCCAAGAGACCAGGGCCCTGTGGGACTTGACATCTTTCCGCAGGGCCTGCAAGATGGAGCTGTTCCACCAGGCCTTTGGCCAGGGCACAGTCTGACCCCCTCTTCACAGAACTCTAGCCCAATGGTTGCCATTAATTTGATTTGAATTGATTTTAGAATGAATTGATTTTAGAATGCATTTCAATTAATTGACCGTGATTTTATGTAAACTGTGTTACTTTTACTGTTGTTAGTCGCTCTGAGCCCGGCTTCAGCAGCTGGGGAGGGCGGGATATAAATAATAATAATAATAATAATTATCATCATCATCTGAGCTAGAGAATCCTGCAAGCAGCGGGTTTTCTTTCTCTTTCCCTTACTTTTTAAATGCAACTCTTCAAATGCATTTTCTCAGCACCCCAAAACCAGTCGCCTGAGGCGGCCACCTCACTCTGCTGAATGGGAGGGCTGGGCCCTCTTGGGTGCAAGTGACCCTGCCCCCCAGCCACGAGTGTAGCCAGGATTCTTGTTGGGTGGGGCAGGACTTTTGTTGGAGGGGGGGGGGAGAGAACCAATGAGGTTTGTCAGTTAGTTAAGTGTTTCTACTGTTTTGCTGAAGACAGGAGTGCCTGGCGTGCTCTGGTCCAGGGGGTCACGAAGAGTCGGACACGACTAAACAAACAAAATTGTTTTGTTTGATGGGGGGGCGCGGCTGCCCCTTCCCCCCCCCCCGGCTACACCCGTGCCATCTCCAAGCTGCCCGGCCCTTAAATTCAGTTTTTCCTTGACTTTTGATTTGCACCCTGTCTTGGACCTAAAAGCAGAGAGGGAAGAGAATATCCCACCCCACACACCGTGGGGCTCCCGGTACCACCTCCAGCTGAAAGGGGGGGGCTGTAGCCTTGGGTTCAGCCCCCCACCCCTGACAACACACCCAGCTAGGCCTGGCAAACCCCAGAGAAACACTGCTGCTGCCGGCCCGTGCAAACAGTGCTGATATAGATGCACCCAAGGGGGGCTTGGGGAAATCCTCACCTGGGATGGGGTGAAGAGACAGGAGGAACCTCAGATCTGCTTTTAACTGCAGTGCAGACAAGCCCCAGAAGTTTGGGAAGGGGGCTTTTCTGGGCGGGAAGATGGGCAGAGGGAGGGAGCCTGGAAGAAGCTGCCTGAGGCTCCAAGCTAGGCCAGCGGCGCCTAGACAGCGCCTGGACTACAACTCCCATCACCCCCTTTCAGCTCGTGGTTGAGGGAGGTGGGAATTGCAGTCCAGGCAACACCCCGGAGAGCCCAAAGTCAAAGAACAGGGCCCTACGCCCACTGGCCGGCCACAGCTCTCCTTGGGTTGCCGATCTGCCTGCAGATGCCGTCAGGACTCGAACTCAGGGCCTGCTGCAGGCAGAGCAACACAGGCCATCCTGGACTGTGCAGAGTCCAGGCAAAGCTCCATTGTGGGGTCCCTGCAGAGTCTGGGGGGGAGCATCTTTCAGGGGCTGTGATGTGAATGGGGATCTTGGTCCAAGGCTGCCCCTGTGTTGTTGTTCCTCCCCCCCCCCCGCCTCTGGTGGCTCCCCAAGTTTTCTCATCCCACAAAAAACGACTCCCCGACCTCGGCTGCTTGTCGGCTCCAGCGCCTCTTTCGCCTCCTGCTCCTGCTTCTCTCTCTTGCGCTTGCTCCGGGGAACCTCTTTGCTGCTGAAGGGCGGCGGAGGCAGGCAGAGCTGGGGGGGGGGCAAGAAATAATCATATTAATAATAATTCCTTTATATCCCGCCCATCTGGCTGGGTTTCCCCAGCCACTCTGGGTGGCTCCCAACAGAATAATAATAGTGATAAAAGATCAAACATTAAAAACTTCCCTAAACAGAGCTGCCTTCAGGTGTCTTCTGAAAGTCAGATCGTTGTTTATGTGGGTGTTCCAGGCAGGCCCCACCACCAAGGAGGCCCTCTGCCTGGTTCCCTGTGACCTCACTTCTCCTGACCAAGGCGGTTCCAGTCCCATGATGAGGCCTGAATCCTGACTCAAAGGGATCCAAATGGTCCGCATCCTCCAGGTGTGCCTGGAGTCGTTCAGCAACCACCCGCTCAATCACCTTGCCCAAGAATGGAAGATTTGAGACCGGGTCTGGGAACGCTCCTTCACAGAGGAAAGCATTCCCCGCCCCACAGAGCCCATTGCCCAGCCCCTCCCTGCTCACTTTTATGAGGCCAGGTCAGCAGGTCCAGTGAGCGGGGCATCAGGTGTCCTCCTCCAACAACCAGTCCCAGCTTCAGGTGGGCCAGCTGGGCTTGGGTCGTTCCTGCATTTCAGGGGGTTGGTCTAGATGACCCTTAGGGGTCCCTCCCAAATCTACAGGTCTACAATTCTTGAATTTCCTGCCCCAGAGCCAGAGGGAGGAGGTCAGGGGTGGATTCCGGCACCCCTAGCTGGCCACTGTTGGCAGCTGGAGACTTAATATTTGGGGGTGTTAACGGAGAAATCTGAGGGCTCCCTTGGACAAAGAAACAAGGACCCCAGCCAGGAATCCCAGAGCAAAACAGCAGCCAGTCGGCTTGGTCTTGATTGAAGACTGTGGCGACAGGACTCCCACCTGCCACCAGGTGAAACAAGATGGAAGCCCCCAACAAAAGAGAACCCAAACTTTGATTAGCTGCTAATCACCATGTTAAAGGTAAAGGTAAAGGGACCCCTCACTATTAGGTCCAGTCGTGACCGACTCTGGGGTTGCAGCGCTCATCTCACTTTACAGGCCGAGGGAGCCAGTGTACAGCTTCCGGGTCATGTGGCCAGCAGGACTAAGCCGCTTCTGGAGAACCAGAGCAGCGCACGGAAACGCCGTTTACCTTCCCGCCAGAGCGGTACCTATTTATCTACTTGCACTTTGACGTGGTTTCGAACTGCTAGGTTGGCAGGAGCAGGGACCGAGCAACGGGAGCTCACCCCGTCGCGGGGATTCAAACCGCTGACCTTCTGATCGGCAAGCCCAAGAGGCTGTCTAGGACCATGAAGGTTGGCATGCCAACTGGGAAGGGCTCCTGTAGACGTGTTGGCATGCTCAAGGGATTATGGCTGCCCTGTATCAAACCACCCCCCTTTGATAGTTCTTCCTTCATAGAGGAAAATAAAAGTGGAATGGTACAGATCCGATGCACGGGTGATTTTCTATGAATTTATAGCAGAAGTGTCGCGTATGTCATGTGTGAATGTGTGTGTGTGTCAAGTTTGTACAAACTGAATGATTGGGGGGTGTTTTTTACTGCAACACCTGTGAGTCAGTACATAGAGACATTTATCAGTGAATTCTTACATTTGGTATCGTGCAGCAAAGGCCCTTTGAATAGATAAGAAGAAACTGTGACCAAGTGTTTTGCGAGGACAAGTCACAAAAGTGATTGTGCTGGTTTTGGTAGTGGGCTGCATGTGCGTGATATCTGCTGGAGGGGCAACCCCCCCCCAACCTGTACATAAATTCCTGCAATAGGGGGCTGTGGCCTAACAGGGCATTACTCCCCCCCCCAAACCCCTCGCCCGTCCTCACCAGAGCAATGACGTTGTTGGCTACGCAGAGCAAGACCAGGCCTCCCAGAAACTTGATGGCCAAGTCCCCGACCTCCTGGCAGGAGCTGTGCTTGGAAGACATGGCAGGAGGTGGGCAGCCATTGCAGACTGAGGACCAAGAAACCAGCCGGTGGGGGGGGCAGGGAGGAGAAGCCATTGTGAGGCGGCAGCGATGATCTCACAGTAGGAGAGGAGGGGGCAGCGAAGGCCTGGCATTGTGTGGGGTCTTCCCTCCCTGCCCTATAAGCCCCCCGTTGACCCGCGAAAGGCAAACTCTCAGGAATTTTTAAGGAATTGACAGGCTGCGTTGATTCCTGTGTTGCGGGTTGGGATGGATGGCCTTTAGGGGTCTCCCTTCCCACTCAGCAATTCCGTGATTAGATTTCGAAAGAATAAAAGTCAAATCTGCCTCCTATTTTTTCTTCTTCCTGTTTTATTCTGTCGCTTTGGGGGCTGCTGCTGCTTCTTTTTGAATTTGCATTATATTTATTTGTTAACATTCTTATATTACATCGGTAAACGTTGTCCTATTACATTACAGGACTTACTGTAATATAATTTCCAACGTGTATACAAAAATTATATACAAATTTTATGTACCTAGAAAGAAAATGAAAAACAAAAAAAGAAAGAGAAAAAACAAAAACCAATTCCCCCCCCAAATCATATACATACCAACACACTAGACTGTCTTTCCCATTGTATATTCCTTTTTTGCAAATGAATGTACGATACAATACGATATCTTTATTGTCATTGTCCCATACAGAACAATGAAACTGAAAAATCTACATAAGACATTCAAAACCCCCTAAAAACTCTGAAACCCCATTTTAAAATACAATATGCTCCTATAGAGACTCCTTATACTGCGCTTAAAACCAGAATTGTATTTGGGTAGAAACTGTTTCTCAGGCGGCTAGTCCTAAGAGAATGTACTCTTATTATTGTCTATTTCTTTACATATTATCTAATACATTCCTAGATCAATAGGTGCTCTTAGTCTTGTTTCTCAATGTCAATCAAATGCTAGCTATGCAAATTTGCCTCCTAACCTGTGTTTTTGTTCCATTTACCCCCATAATTCTGACCCGGGGTCCCTCGTCCCTCCTTCAAGGGCTGGAGCCCCCCGCCCTATGTCCCCCCCCATCTCTCTAGGTCGCCATGCCTTCCAGGCTGAAGTTCTTCCGGGGCCAGCGCTACCAGCACCTGAAGAAGCGCTGCCTGCAGCAGCAGAGCCTCTTTGAGGACCCCGAGTTCCCGGCCACCAACGCCTCCCTCTTCTACCGCAGAGACCCTCTGCAGGGAGTCTCCTGGAAGCGCCCCGGGGTGAGCAGGAGACAGGGGCGCCTAGTGGTTAGAGCGCTGGAGAGGCCAGGCTTCACCTTCCCCCACTCAGCCCCTGCGAAGCTCCCTTGAGGGCCAGTCCCCGCCTCGCTTCCCTCGCAGTGTTGTTGCAGGGATTATTGAGAAGGGGAGCCCCCCCTTGAACTCTGTGGAAACACGGAATTGCAGAGTCTCAAGGGGCTACCTTGGAAGGTGACCCGGAAACTGCAGTTAATCCAGAATGCGGCAGCTAGACTGGGGATTGAAAGTGGCCGCCGAGACCACGTAACACTGGTCCCAAAAGACCTGCACTGGCTCCCAGTATGTTTCCGAGCACAATTCAAAGTGTTGGTGCTGACCTTGGAAGCCCTAAATGGCCTCAAAGGCCCAGTAGACCTGAAGGAGCGTCTCCACCCCCATCCTTCTGCCTGGACACTGAGGTCCAGCTCCGAGGGCCTTCTGGTGGTTCCCTCGCTGCGAGAAGCCAAATTACAGGGAACCAGGCAGAGGGCCTTCTCAGTGGTGGCACCCTTCCTGTGGAACGCCCTCCCACCAGATGTCAAAGAGAACAACTACCAGACTTTTAGAAGACATCTGAAGGCAGCCCTGTTCAGGGAAGCTTTTAATGTTTGATGTATTATGGTATTTTAATATTTTTTTGGAATCCGCCCAGAGTGGCTAGGGAAGCCCAGCCAGATGGGCGGAGTATAAATAATAAATTATTATTATTATTTTATTATAATATATAAAGCAGGGAAGGCAGGAGCGTCATTTCCCACATTGCCAGGGTTGGACTAGATGCCTCTGGGTGCCTCTTCCAGCGCTATGATCCGTGCGATGCTGCCTCCGGCTTCTGCTGCTTCAGCTGCAGACCTGGCAGGGCTGTTTCAAAGGGGGAGGTGGGTGATGAGAAGCCCCCTGGGTCTGCCAGGTCCTGCCCCATAATGGGGGGGGCATTTGGAGTTCCAATGTCCAGAGAGCCTCTCTCCCTCCCTTGGCCAGGAGCTGTGTGCGGACCCCCGGCTCTTTGTGGACGGCATCAGCCCCAGGGACCTGCACCAGGGCAGCCTCGGGAACTGCTGGTTCGTGGCGGCCGCCTCCTGCCTGGCCAGCGAGCCTAGCATCTGGAAGAAGGTAGGGGGCCCCTCCTTTGCCCACTCCCACCCCCCTTCTCTTCCCCCTCTCTGCCCAAGCAGACACCAGCCTCTCTCTTGCTTGCAAGCGGGATCTAGCCGTGATGTGAACCGGGGCTGGTTGGTTCAGGCCAGGGTGCCTCTGGGCATGTGCAGAGTGCCTGAAAGAGAGATGCAGCCCTGTCCAGAGGGCTGCCCTCTGAGGGGTGTCCGGGTGCCAGGCCTGCTGCGCCCAAGCAGAATCCAGTCCTTCTCTCTCTCTCTTTTTTAAAATTAATTAATTTAACACAATTATTACAAAATATTGCAAATACATACATATATATTTCAGATAAGCACACATATATAAAAAGAGAAGAAAAGAAAAAATAAAGAGAAAAAGTCTCTCTTTTTTTAAGACAAACAAACCCAGATCCTAGCCTTCATTCTGGCTTCTTTGAGTGCCTCTGAGCATGTGCAAAGTGGCAAGGATCCATTAAGGGTTCGGTCAGTCAGCTAGCTACAAATCCACCTAATAGCTGCTTCATCTTACTCACATTTTACCAGCTTCCTCGCGAGAAAATCCTAGCGACTTTGTCAAAAGTCTTCCTGAAATCAAGATAAACATTCAGCATTCCCCTGATCCACTCATTTTGTATCTCGGCCTTTTTCCTCCTGCCCGAGTCCAAAGCCCTTCCTGCTTCTCTTCCCTCAGGTCATCCCCAACCCCCGGGAGCAGGATTGGGACCCTGGCCGGCCCCACGCCTACGGCGGCATCTTCCGCTTCCGCTTCTGGCGCTGGGGCAGCTGGACGGAGGTTGTGGTGGACGACCGGCTGCCCTGCCGCCAGGGACAGCTCCTCTTCTGCCGCTCGGCCGAGCCCTGCGAGTTCTGGAGCGCCCTCCTGGAGAAGGCCTACGCCAAGTGGGTGGGGCAAAATGGTGGGGGGAAATGGGGGGGGGTCTTCTCAAGGGCGTAAGGAGAGACCTGCTCCTGGATCAGGCCACCTGGTTCAGCTTCCTGGCCTCAAAATAGCGGAAGGACCCCAGGATCCTAGGGAGCGAGATATATTGGCAAAACCTATTGGTGTTTTGCAACTTTCCGACTCGCTGCAGGACATCAGCCAGACCCAGCAGAGTCAACGCAGAATCCACGGAAGCAATTGGCAACTTGGCTGCAGACAGGATAGACGAAGCAGGAACCAGGAACTTGTAGTTAGGTGGACTATTTACAGGAACAGAACACGGATCTTTTGCTAGCTCTCTCTGACACGACTCACCACTCCTACACTCACTGACATACTGAACCACTGAACACTGAACTAACACATTCCAGTTAAGGTAAAGGTAAAGGGACCCCTGACCATTAGGTCCAGTCGTGGCCGACTCTGGGGTTGCGGCGCTCATCTCGCTTTACTTGCCAAGGGAGCCGGCGTACAGCTTCTGGGTCATGTGGCCAGAAGGACTAAGCCGCCTCTGGCAAACCAGAGCAGCACATGGAAACGCCGTTTACCTTCCCGCCAGAGCGGTAACTATTTATCTACTTGCACTTGACGTGCTTTCGAACTGCTAGGTTGGCAGGAGCAGGGACCGAGCAACGGGAGCTCACCCCGTCATTGCGGGGATTCGAACCGCCGACCTTCTGATCGGCAAGTCCTAGGCTCAGTGGTTTAACCCACAGCGCCACCTGCGTCCCAATCACATTCCAATTAGTAGGCCATTAATTATCACTCCCTTGAGAGAACTTGACCAATCAGGGAGCTGTCTGCATGTCTCTGTTATCACCAGGCAGACTTACTCCTTCACGTGACCTTCTGGCTGGCTGCCAAACCTTAATTGAGTCTGTGTGAGTAGTTGCACGTACATAGTTTCCCAACAAAATAGACTGCCTCTGCACCTGGAGGCTCCATGAGAACTTCTGAAGAGCCCCCATTTGGGCCTATCTAGCCCTGTTCTCACAGTGGCCAAGTGGATACCCCAGTGCAGAAGCCTGCGGTCAGGATTCGAACACAAGAGCGCTCCCCCGTCCTGCGATTTCCTGCAACTGGGATTCAGAAGCATTGACTGTGGACGCAGAGCAATAATCGATACCCCTCTCCTCCTCCATGAATTTGTGTGATCCTTTTTTAAAGGCATCCAGGTTGGCTCCTGTGGCAGGGAGTTCCGCAGTCGCAACGCAGGAATCGCGGCTCAAGAACCCCTGACGGACAGCCGTCAGAAGTCATGTGGCTCTTTTTATAATATTCCAGAGTACTTTAAAAAAAATCTAATCTAGAAAAACGAATGGGAGAAGGGGAAAAGTAAAAGGAAAGGAAACACAGAAAAATGAAATGGCTTCTGATTCTCCACCCACCAGCTAAATATACTAATATATTTGCTCAAATTAATATCCAGCTATTCTATTTTCTATCAACCATTATGTTTTGCCAGATATTATTATTTATTATTATTTAATTTTATTTATACCCCGGCCAAGACCGGACTCAGGGCAGCTAACACCAGCTATAAAAACACTTGATTAAAGTGCAACTTAAAAACAAGATTAAAATACTACTTCAAATGCAGCCTCATTTCAGTGGAAGCCCAGATCGAAAACTGTTTGGGGGGAGAAAACGGCAAATCTTCACCAAGGCCAACTCTCCAGACTAGTTCTACGTGGGCCAGAAAAGACAGTGAAGTCCCCAAACAGGGGTTCCATCACAGAAGGAAAAGGAAGTTAATTTAAAGTCCGCTTTCAGTCTGAATAAATGTCAATAATGGGCTTCGCAAGTGTGGGGAGGGCGGCTGGGGTGCTCAGACCCCCCTCCTGACAGACTCTCCATTGGGGCAGCTGGCTGGCTGTAATCCCCCCCCCATTCAAGGGCTGTGTGGTCGAATGGTTAGGGCACCTGCTCTGAGGATGGGCCTTGTTCCTTTGCCCAAAAGACCGGTCATTGGGGAGTGACCAGCACACCCCAGCCCCAACTTCAGCATTGGGGGGGCCCCTCCCCGCTGACCACTGGGCATTCCAGCCCACCCACCCTTTCCCCCCTCTCCTACCCAGGCTGAATGGGTGCTACGAGGCCCTGGAGGGCGGCAACACGGCCGAGGCGCTGGTGGACTTTTCGGGGGGCATTTCGGAGCCCCTGGCGCTGGACGAGGGGGGCTTCGGCACGGACCCCGAGAAGCGGAAGGAGCTCTTCCAGCAGCTGAAGAAAGCCCACGCCCGGGCGGCTCTCGTCAGCTGCTCCATCCGGGTGAGAAAAGAGGCCGAGGTGACGGAGAGGCAGCGCGGCGCAGTGGTTAGAGCGCTGAAAGAGACCAGCGTTTGAATAATCCCAATTCTCGCTTGGTGTGACTCTGAAAGCCAGACTCTGTCTCTTGGCTTTCCTCGCAGGGCTCTTGTTGGGGACTGAATGAGGAAGGGGAGAGAGAGAGAGGAAAAGGGTTTGGGATATCAGTGCAATAAATAAATTAAATAAATATAAACTGGCCATTAGAAGTAAAAAGAGAAGCAGGGGAGAAGCATTCTTTCTCCCCCCCCCCATTTTTATTTCTGCTTTTCAGATATATACATTTCACTGATTTTACAATCCTTTTGACATTTCAGAACTTGACTTCCTTCCCCCTCTTTCTGCGGTTCCTTAAATTTATTTTTAAACATCTTCTTCATATCCAAATTCACTTAACTCGCTCGTTTATCTTCTTCCAATATTTACTCTTACGTAACTGCAGGTTATTACAATAATCCTACCAGTGTTTTTTTTTTATCTGTTTACAATTTACCTGTAAATAATTCAATAAACCATTTCCACTCTTTTATTTAAAAAGTTCGTTATCTGGATTTCTTATTCTTCCAGTAAGTTTTGCCATTTCTGCATATTTTTGTATCCATTCTTCCTTTTGCTGGGAATTCTCCTTTCCCTTTTGGGGCAAATAACATTCTTGCCGCTGTAGTAGCAGACATGAATAAGTTTCTGTACAATTTAGGTAGTTCCACCCCTATAATTCCCAGATGAAAAGCTTCTGGGTTTTGTTTGTTTTTTAACAAATGTTACTTTAAACATCTTTTTCAATTCATTGTATATCGTTTCCCAGTAAGCTTTAACTTTACTGCAAGACCACCCATTATGATAGAAAGTAACATTCTCTTTTTTAAAAAAAGATATTTATTAAAAGTTTTTAAAATATAACAAGAAAAAAGAAAAATAAACATACAAAATAAAAAAACAGTTAAAAACACACATTAATTTTCAATAACATAACTTCCATACACTTATTTCCTCGGACCTCCTCATACCTCCCTTCTTTGTATTCCAGTTCGATTTGTTAGTTCAGCAAATCCTTAACATTAAACTTTTACCCATTTGTAAAACCTCTTTTTTTCATATCTCTTAAAGCATTACAGCTGGAAACCGCTTAGTTTCTATCCAACATCCTTCTAACATTCATTAATTTTACAATGTTTCTGTAAGTAGTCTTTGAATTTCTTCCAGTCTTCTTTCACCGACTCTTCTCCCTGGTCTCGGATTCTGCCAGCCATTTCTGCCAATTCCATGTAGTCAATCAGATAGAAAGTAACATTCTTGCTGCTGTAGTTGCAGACATGAATTAAGTTTCTATACAATTTAGGTAGTTCTGTCGCTATAATTCCCAAGAGAAATAACATTTACGAATGTTATTTTGAACATCTTTTTCGTTGCATTGTATATCGTTTCCCAGGAAGCCTTAACCTTCCTGCAAGACCACCACAGGGCGTTCTTAGTCTTGCATGGCCGTTCTCTGAATCTCTTTGTGTTGTGTGTCCCCCCCCCCATAGTCCCTTCCTGGCGAGGGGCCCGAGGCTGAGCTGCCCTGCGGCCTGGTCAGGGGCCACGCCTACGGGGTCACGGCGGTCAGGACCGTCCACCTGCGCAGGAGGAACCTGCTGGAGCTCTTCAAGGTCAAGAAGCTGCAGCTGATTCGCATGCGGAACCCCTGGGGGACGGTGGAATGGAACGGGGCCTGGAGCGACAAGTAAGGGGGCACGCGGGAAGGCTGCCTTTGGGGTGGGTGGAAGGGGCCTGGGGGGTTGGGGGAGAAGTCAGCCCCCTTAGTCACAGAATTATGGACCTGTAGAGATAGGAGGGGGCACCAGTGGTCATCTACTCCAACCCCTCAATGCAGGAATCTAGGGGAGAAGTCAGCCCCCTTAGTTGAAGAATTATGGATCTGTGGAGGTAGGGGGACCCCAGCGGTCATCTAGTCCAACCCCCACAATGCAAGAGTCTGGGGGGAGCAGTCAGCCCCCTTCATCATAGAATTATGGACCTGTAAAGATAGGAGGGGACCCCAGCAGTCATCTAGTCCAACCCCCACAATGCAAGAATCTAGGGGGAGCAGCCAGCCCCCTTAGTCACAGAATAATGGGCCTGTAGAGAAAGAAGGGGGCACCAGCGGTCATCTAGTCCAACCCCCACAATGCAAGAATCGCAGCTGAAGAATCCCTAAAGAGATGGTTGCCTGATCTCTGCTTAAAAACCTCCAGCAAATCTTAGAAGGTAGAGTGGGAAGGGCAACCCAAAGGTCATCCAGCCCAACCCCATGCAATGCAATGTGGTGGGGTCCCCCTGGAGGGGAAAGGAGACCGGGTGGGCTCTGGGGGGCTGTTAGAGAGGGTCCTGCTCGAGGGGCGGAGGCTTTTGACCTGTCTCACTTCAAACCTCCCCCCCACACACACTTCAAAGGTCCCCAGAATGGCAGAAGGTGAGCCAGCGAAACCGGAAGCAAATGGGGGTAACCGTCCGGGACGATGGCGAATTCTGGTAAGTTGGGGCTTTTGGGGGGGGTCTCCATTGGTCTCTCTGTGATTGTGGTGCCCCTCAGGGTCCGATCCTGCAAGACTCCATTTCAGGGGTCAGCTGCAGGTTTCTAGGACAGGCATAGGCAAACTCCGGTCTTCCAGATGTTTGGGACTACAATTCCCATCATCCCTAGCTCACAGGACCAGTGGTCAGGGATGATGGGAATTGTAGTCCCAAACATCTGGAGGGCCGGAGATTGCCTATGCCTGCCCTAGGATGTGGAAAGACCCCAAGGCAGGCTGACCCCTCTTTCCCTCTCCATGGGGCAGCCCCTGCAGCCCCACTCCCAGCCTGCCAAGACCAGACTCTGACAGCTGATGGATTGATGGATTGATTGACTGACGGATAGTATTTCTGTTCCGGTTCAAATGAGTCCCAGAGCAGCTCACAAGCAACAAATAAATGCACAACGTCAGTAATTGCAACCGATAAAACACTATATTAGCAAGCCAGCAAACTAAAATATAGCTGGACGTCCCAATTGGAGCATGACACACCATCTGATTAGCAAACCAATAAGGCGTTTATAATCTCTGAAGCAATATTCACTAAATTGCAGCTAAAAAATAAGCTGCAAAGTCTACACCCCCCAATGTTTCATAATCTTTCGCTCTCTTTGGTCCATTGAGAGAGTGTGTCTAAGGAGCTCCAGGCGGCTCGAGTAAGTGAGCCAAGCCACACACACGCACCGGAAGGTTGAAGGAGAATATTTCCGACCTCGCCAGTCCCTGCCTGACTCTTCTTCCCTGTCTCCTTGACTTTCCCGGCAGGATGAGCTTTGAGGACTTTTGCGCCCATTTCACAGACGTCGTCATCTGCCGCCGCATGAACACGGCGAGGCTGAGCTGCCGGCGGAGCTGGGTGGAGGATCTGCAGTTTGGGGAGTGGGACCCCCAGAAGAGGCGGGCAGGGGGCTGCCTCAACCACAGGGACACCTTCCTGGAGAACCCCCAGGTGATTGGGGGAAAGCGATGGACGTTCTGGGACCCCATATTTCGAAAACCTCATCAGTTTCGGTTGTTTGCAAGCTGAGAATAAGGGCGAGAGGCTGAGTTCTCCTCTTTCAGTGTTTTATTTCTTTTGCTTTAAATGCCCTTGCTTTTCCATTTTTGCTGCGATTCCCGAATTGCAAGGTGGGTTGGACTAGATGACCACTGGGGGTTGCTCCCAATTCTGCAGTTCCATGATGTAAATTTATTGATTTATTAAATCTGTATACTGCCCTCCATCTGTAGATCTCAGGGAGGTGCACAGCATAAAAACGCAAGACAAAAAACACAAAATACCGTATTGGCCCGAATATAAGCTGCACCCGAATATAAGCCACACCTTTAAAATTCGGGGGGGGGGGGGAGAGAAAAAAAGACAATACCCGAATATAAGCCGCTGCCTTAAAATTCTGCAGGCACTCACACCTGTTCCGTTTTACCGTCTGTCTGTTTCAGCAGTGATATCATAAAAGCACCTTTTTGTAAGGTCGCGAATTTAAGCCACACTTTAACTTTTCACGGTCGGAATTTGGGGGGAAAATGGTGAGGCTTGTATTCAGGCCTATACAGTCATACCTCTTCTTGCGAATGCTTCATGTTGCATTTTTTTCAGCCCGGAAGTGTTTATTTCTGGGTTTCACTGTGTGTGCGGGCACAAGCATTCTGCGTGGTTCGCTCATGTGCAGAAGAACTCTGTTGCGCTTTGCAGATGCGCAGAAGTGCTGCTCTGGTTACGGTGCGAACCGCAACCCCAGAACGGATCATGTCCACAACCACAGGTACCACTGTACGGTACATAATAAAAATAAAAATAAGAACAAGAACAAACACACACACACACATATATACATATACATACACACATATACATATATATATGTGTGTGTGTGTGTGTGTGTGTATGTATACATATTAACAGATATATATACCATATAAGCAGTCAAAACAATAGGCTGACCTTTTCTCTCTTCTCCCCCCAGTTCTTCTTCGACGTGTCTGGGGTTCGAGACTCGGTCCTGATCTCGTTGCAGCAGGAAGACACCCGTCAGCTCCGGGGGTCTGGCTCCGGGGGGCACAACCTCCCCATTGGCTTCGAGCTCTTCAGCGTGAGTCCAAGCACCTCGTTCGGGGTGGGGGGGCTTGGGGGTGCAGGAAGCTCTGGGTGTGGGGAGTAGGGCAGGTCATAAAAAACTTTTTTTTAAAAAAAATGCCTGCTCCAAAGGTCTTTGCCCAGCTTTGCCTGGGGAAGGTGGGATATAAATAAAATCATCATCATCATCTTGCTACACTAGGGATTATCTAGCTATATCTGAAATTTCACGCATATCAGTTAATATATTGACCCTGCTCCGCTGAATTGAAATTTCAGCCTTCATGACTTGGGAAAATGGCCAAGTAAACAGCTATTTTCATAGAGGAGGGTCAAGATATTAACTGATATGCGTGAAATTTCAGATATAGCTAGATAATCTCTAGTGTAGTAAGATAAGACCTTTGGAGAAGGCATTTTCAAAACAAAGCTTTTAATGAACCGCCCTAGGGGGGAGGCCTTGCCTGACTTGGCAGGGGAGTGGCTGAGGGGGGGGCCCTTGGCGCTGCCATTTGAACTGCAGAGTTGGAAGGGACCCCCAGGACTCATCTGCCCCAACGGAGGCTTCTGAGCAGAGACCGGCTGGCCACCCCCAGGGGATTCTCGAGCGGCGATTCCTGCCTTGCCTGGGTTGGGCTGGATGACCTCTGGGGTCCCCTCCCCGTTCCATGTAATTCCCTTCCTCGCAGGTGGAGCAGAACCGGACTTGGCGCCTGCACCGCATCCCGCCCCGAATGGCCGGCTCCACCTACATCAACTCCCGCAGCGTCTTGCTCCGGGCGGAGGTGCCCGGGGGCCGCTACGCCCTCCTGCCCACGACCTTCGACCCCGGCCAAAGCAGCGCCTTCCTCCTGCGCATCTACAGCGAGCGCCCGGCCAGGCTGCGGTGAGCAGGGCCCCTCGGACCCTAGTCTCTCTCCCTCTGAGCATCTGCAGAGTGCATTCGCCTCGTCTGATGGGCCTCTTCGCGGCAGCCCCCTTTCAGCTTGACAACTTGAGATTTCACAAGGGTGACAAGTGTTCCTCTGGGCATGGGCAGAGTGCCTTTCCCTCACTACAGATGGAGCGGATTGTCTGATAACATAAAGACAGAGGGTGGTGTCTCTCCTCCAGGGGGTGTTCTCTCCTTCGCTGTGTATTTAATTTTAAAACACCCACCACCCCCGAAAACAATTCCTGGGAGCTCACGTGCCCCTCGCAGACCCCTGGTTCCCGGCGTTGTTGGCAAACTGCAGTTCACAGGGGAGTTTAGTGAGTGGGTGGGCTTTGGACGAAGGGGCCCTAAGCAGGGATGGCAGGGGGTGGACTGGATGACCCCTAGGAGCACCATACAGATCTATGTTCCTGTAAGGCTATTTCCCCCCCATATTTAAATTGCATTTTAACCTGTATTTTAAATTGGTTGTTTTTTTCCTATTATGTTTTTACTGTAATTTTATTGGTGTTAGCCGCCCTGAGCCTGGCTCTGGCTGGGGTGGGCGGGGTATAAATTATTATTATTATTATTATTATTATTATTATTATTATTATTATTATATTAGAATAAAATACACTTCTTTCCCTCCCTCTCTGCCCCTAAGGGCTGTCAACCGCAATGACCCCCCACCTCCGCGCTGCAGCTGCTGCTCCGGATCCCACCAGCTCATCACCTCCGTTTGTGTCCATCGGGCCGTGGGGCTGGCACTCCCCAACTCCAGCAAAGGTGAGCTTGCGACGACTCCTGCATTGCAGTGGGTTGGGCTAGATGACCCTTGAGGGTCCCTCCCAACTCTGCAGTATTGTGATTCTGCAGAAAGACACTCCCCTCTCCCAAATGCCTTGCCAAAAGGCACAGGGTGAACTCAAGGGCGAGGCAACAGGAGAGGCCTGCCAGGAGCTGTGAGCTGTGTTGCAGAGCCTCCACATTCAGGGATAGTCTACCTTTGCCCAGGGGGGTTGCTGGTGAGGGAGGGGCTCTTGAGGAAGGCCTAGGCCCTGGGCGAGGGGTCCCCCAAGAGGCCTGGGGGCAAATGACTGGGGTGTCCCCCTTCCCTCTCTCTCTCCAGCCCCAGATGTCTACGTCAAGGTCTGCTCCGAAGGGCAGGCGGTGCGATCCTGCCTCCACAAGGCCAACTCCAGCCCAGACTTCAACTTCAAGGCTGTCTTCTGCCGCCGGCGCCCGCAGAAGCCCATCCGCATCGAGGTGAGTGGAATTGGGGGGGGGGGCGACACACGGGCAGCAACTTGATCTCCCACCTGTTACGTTCTGAAGGCAAAGGAAGGATTGCACCCGGGTTAATACAATACACACGAGGCTTGGCCAGCAAGACTCTGGGAGGAGGGGCCAATAATAATCTGCCACACCCTGGCCCAGGTCCCTTTTATTAACAAAAGAACTTTTAACACAGCGCTTGTAAGAACCAGTCAGATGTCCTCTGAGCATTTAAAAAAAAAAAAAAAACCTACCAAGTTAAAACTACAAAGAACTAATTTGAGCATGCATACATTTTGGGTAAGTAAAACAGGAATCAAGGAGGAATGCATTTAGCAAACCCTGGAGGTCATAAACAGGCAGTAAATAGGAAAGGAAGGATAGCAAGGAAAGATAGTATTTACCAAGCCAGAGGGTTACGTATGTGGAGGTAGTTTTCTTTCAATTCACAACACACTGTAAATTACAAATCTGTTTTCCATAACTTTTCTTAATCTACCATCTCACATTCCTCTCCTTTTGTTCCCCGCTCCACAGGTGTGGGCCAGGCGGTTCCTGCGCAGCACCCGGCTGGGGTACGTCAAAGTCTTGGCTGCGGAGACCGCCCCGGACGCCGGCAGTGGGCAGGTGCTGCGGCTGCAAGGGGGACCCCCTGCCTGTCCCCCGGGCTCCATCCTCGTGGAGACCTCCACCAGCTCCGACCTCCTGGCTCTGTGAGCTCGGCCGAGGAGCCCTTTGTAGGCGCCAGGGAGTGCATTGGGTGCCCGCCTAGGGGTGGGCATGTTAGGATATAGTTCCATTCCACCTTAAAAGGGTACAGGCATGATATTCGTGTATCACATGCCTGTTTACGTCCAGCACAGTCTGCTGGGAACTTCCGTTGTGTATTGCTTTTGCTATACTGCTCTTTTGCCGGAGACGAAGGGATGCAGACATGTTTTCCTTTGTTCCTGAACTATGATGAATAAATGCTGTAAATAATGCTTACATCTTCCTCTGTCCGCCTCATCCGCTGTGTGATGGTTTACACACTCTGCTGACAGTGTGCACAAGTCTCTAAGCGTATCTGAGGCTCGTGTCCCTGGCTGACTGATGCTGTTTCACGGGAGACCGGTGATCGTCCAGAGCAAGCTGGGGGCCTGCCTGATGCCCCCTTCTCCCCAGCAGTATCCCAACAACATGGTTTTGGGCCCAGATCCATGGTGCTTACAGGAGAGTAAGACTGCTGATGGCATGTGAAGCGAGGCTTTTCTGTGCCGCGGCAGAGACCTGTAGGCACACACGCAAGGACCGCCGTCCTTCTGCTCAAGAAGAAGCTGTGCTGCTTGTTGTCATTTATTTCTGTTGCGTTCCCAAAGCAAGGAAGGATTGGACCCTGATTAATAGAATACACACGAGGCTTGACCAGCAAGACTCTGGGAGGAGTGCGTATAATAATAATTCCTTCTCCACCCCTCGGCCCAGGTCGTTTTATTCACAAAAGAATTTTTTACACAGTGTCCGTAAGAACCAATCAGATTTCCTCTGAGCATTTCAGAAAACCCCTTGTAGGACAAAGTCAGATCAGAAGAAATCCTGTTAACTACAAAGAAATGATTTCCTACTTGAGCATGCATAGTAGTTCAGAGTAAATAAAATAGGAAGCAAGGAGGAATGCTTTTAGGAAACCCAGAGGTCATAAACAGCAGTAAACAGTATTTACCATTTCATTGTGAACTCACTTCCTGGCCCTTAAGATCTATCTAAAGATTAACAAAACCAAGGAAAGGTACATCAAAGAAGCTACCTACTATCTTTATGACCCAGGATGCCTGATGAAGCAACTGGCCTGTGTTTAGAATGCTTCTACGTGCCTGTCAGGCAGAGAAATAGGACAGAGACGCAGAGGCGTGGATTGATCAGAAATCATATCAAAATGGCTCAAGCCCAGTCAACGCTTTCATTGCTGACACAAATGGCTTGCTCCATATTTTTTATAATTCCTCACAGCGATCCCACCTGATCACTACAATTTCTGCAGACGTTTCTTGAAATTTCACTTTATAACGTGCACGTAAAATGGAGAGGACGGTTGCAGCAGCCAAAGATAAGCGAAAGATGGGGAACAACACAGGAAAAGAGGCACACAGGACGAGTCCAGTTGCGCACAGGTGGAAGCGAAAGGAAACTCTCGCCGTGAATTTCTGTCCCAACGAGGTCCAAGGAAAGGCTGTTGATTGCCAAGTCTAGTTCCTGGGACCTTCCAAGGGAGACCGTTTTCCTCTCGGGTGCCGCAAACGGAAAAGGGAAGCTATAAACATTAACGAAACCTCTCTTTGCTGGGCGCCAGGAACTTAGCTGTGAAGCATTTAGCTTCTGGGACGTCTTTGCTGCTTTCAAATGCTGCTGGTGAATGTGCCGCACTTCACATTTTATATTCTGCTTTAATAAAGTCTTCTAAACCCAGCAGGATCTGTAAAAACTCAGCTGCACTACTCAGCGTAAAGAATAGAACATTAACAGAGTTTGAACCTGAGAGGATGTTGGCTTTGTGGCTGGGGGGCTGGAGAGTGGCTGGCTGGGGACAGGGTAACCCCCCCTTGGAAAGAGTGGGTTTTTGGGGTGCTCCCGGACCCCTCTCTGTCACGCTCAAGAACCCTCCGTGGCTAGGAGCACATTTTCCCAGCTATGGCTGGCGTTATAAGAATTCTAAGGTCCCAAATATAAAATAAACTTTAATAAATATACAAGGCAAACCCATACATAAGTATATATAAAGGACGTGTCTGAAATAGTGTTGTTGTTTACTCGTTTAGTGGTGTCCGCCTCTTCGTGACCCCCTGGACCAGAGCACGCCAGGCACTTCTGTCTTCCACTGCCTCCCACAGTTGGTCAAACTCATGCTGGTAGCTTCGAGAACACTGTCCCACCATCTCGTCCTCTGCCGTCCCCTTCTCCTTGTGCCCTCCATCTTTCCCAACATCAGGGTCTTTTCCGGGGAGTCTTCTCTTCTCATGAGGTGGCCAAAGTCTTGGAGCCTCAGCTTCAGGATCTGTCCTTCCAGTGACCACTCAGGGCTGATTTCCTTCAGAATGGAGAGGTCTGATCTTCTTGCAGTCCATGGGACTCTCAAGAGTCTCCTCCAGCACCAGAATTCAAAAGCATCAATTCTTCGGTGATCAGCCTTCTTGATGGTCCAGCTGAAATAGTACAGGGGAGCAATCCTGAAGCCATTTTGACTCTCCCAAATTGACCGCAAATATTTCTCTGCAAGGAGGAAGGAAATGGGAAAAAGTTTTCCAATTGTCTTTTGTTTGCAAATCCTGTCTTAAAGGGTGCATTTGTGTATGAATAGGGTGAGCCTGTGATCTGGATTCAGGAACTAAAGTATTAACCTCACAAAAGAATGGCCAGGCTGCCCAGGTAAAGCAATCAGTGACCATAATCAGGTAAGACACTTAGCGCTGTGGTCTAAACCACTGAGCCTCTTGGGCTTGCTGATCCGAAGGTTGGTGGTTCAAATGTGGACAAACGCTGGCTCCCTCGGCCTGAGAGCAAGATGAGCACAGCAACCCCAGAATCACCTTTGACTGGACTTAACCATCCAGGGGTCCTTTAACTTTTTACCCTTTTATCCTGGCAGACAGGATTTCTGCTGTAGACCTGCCTCCTTCTGCGATGTATGTATGATGTTTTTGGGGGTGGACTTGGGCTACAGGGTGGGCAATTTCAAAAGTCTGTATAAGAGCTTGCACACCAATGTTCTGGGTTCCTCCTCCCTCCCTGCCTGGGGTGAGTGGAGACCCTTTTGCAAGAGTTCAATAAAGATCAGGCTTACTAGCTGCTTTGCTTCTCAATATTCTCTGCTTGGCCTCTGTTATTTTCTCCTACTGATAGGTGAAATAAAAAAAATGAGGTCTTATATGTATAATAAATGTTCATAAATGTACCAAGCAAACACATACATAAATATATAAACCACATGTCTGAAGCAGCACAGGAAACCAGCCCTGAAGCCATTTTTTTTTAAAGTAATTTTTATTGCATTTTTTCAATCACAAACAGAAGAAAAAGAAGAAAAACAGAAAGAAAAAAGAAAAAACACAGAAAGGAAAAAAAAAAGAATCGTAACCTTCCAACAACTTATTTCAACTTTCTATCGAACTTCCCCACATCTCCCACACAATGCATTCTTAACAATAAATTTATCAGCAAATTATAACCTTGTTTCATATGTTTCTTTTGTACTTTCAATTGCAGTTTAAGTTTAAATTCCTTATTATCCATTTACTCTGGAAACAAAACATATTATCATTTTTAACATTTAAACTTTGATTCTTTCAATAATATTATCCAATTTCATAAATATTGCATTCTCATTGCTGGGGCTAACATTTCAGGTTATGCGTCATTTTATAGTTCATATAACTTATAAAATTTTTGCAAATAGTCCTTGAATTTTTTCCAATCCTCCTCCATTTCTTCTTCTCCCAGGTCTCGGATTCTGGCGGTCATCTCGGCCAACTCCATGTAGTCCATCAGTTGCGTTTGCCACTCTTCCAGTGTGGGCAAATCTTGAGTCTTCCAATGTTTAGCGATAAGAATTCTTGCTGCTGTGGTGGCATACATAAAAAACGTTCTATCCTTCTTTAACACCTTTTGGTCCATAATGCCCAAGAGGAAGGCCTCTGGTTTCTTAAGAAAGGTGTACTTAAACACCCTTTTTAACTCGTTATAGATCATCTCCCAGAAGGCCTTCACTCTTGGACAGGTCCACCAAAGGTGAAAGAATGTTCCTTCAGCCTCCTTACACTTCCAACATTTGTTATCAGACAAATGGTATATCTTAGCAAGCTTGACTGGGGTCATGTACCACCTGTATACCATTTTCATAATGTTTTCTTTCAAGGCATTACATGCCGTGAATTTCATACCGGTGGTCCATAACCTTTCCCAGTCTTCAGACATAATATTGTGCCCAATGTCTTGAGCCCACTTTATCATGGCTGATTTAACTGTCTCATCCTGAGTATTCCATTCAAGCAGCAAGTTATACATTCTCGATAATACCTTGGTCTTTGGTTCTAACAGCTCTGTCTCAAGTTTCGATTTTTCCACCTGGAATCCTGTTTTTTTGTCCAACTTAAAGACCTCATTAATTTGGGCATAATGAAACCAATCTTGCACCTTATCCTTTAGTTTTTCAAAGCTCTGCACAGCCCTGAAGCCATTTTGACTCCCAAACTGACCAGGTGTTCTCTCTGCAAAGTCAAATGGAAAAGCCTCCCCATTGTCTTTTCCTTCACAAATCCTGTCTTAAGGGTATGTCTGTGTATGAATAGGGTGAGCCTGTGACGTGGCTCAGGAACTAAGCATTTGTCATTACAAAAGACTGGCCAGGCTCCCCAGGCAATCCAATCAAGTGATCATTAACAGGTAACCAGCCAGACAGGAGGTAAACAAGGCACTCAGATTTCTGTTGTAGACTGCCTTTTCTGTGATGTAGGTATGATGTTTCTGGGGGTGGTCTTGGACTCGGGCAATTTGAAATGTCTATATAAGGACGGACACACCTTTGTTCTGGGTCCTCCTTCTTTCCTGCGTCTGGGGGGAGCACCCTGTTGCAAGAGTTCAATAAAAATCAGCCTTACTAGCGGCTTTGCTTCTCAGTATTCTCTGCTTGGCCTCGGTTCTTTTCTCCGACCGATGGAGAACCCACAAAGGACTCTCTAAGGGCTCTTGTGTCTCCCTTAAGGAAATAAGGGCAGATTTTCATTTATTACAGAGGGAACCTCCATAAGGACTCTATAAGGGCTCTTGGGTACCCCATAAGGGACAAAGGAGCAGGGTTTTTTCTATAACAGCTGGGAAATCCATCTCCCATGGAGGGAGGTCCTTGGCCAATTCCTCCAGGAGGTAGGAGCCCACCTGGTGGGGCAGGCTTGCTCCCAGTCCTATAAAAGTGGTGCCTCTTCCGTGGCTGGGGTGGGGGGCTCGGTCGGCCTTTGCCCAGAGGCCAGCACGATTTTCACATGACTGACGCCTCACTTCCTCCTCCTTTCTGTGGCTGTTTGCATCTGGACTTCCCTGCCATATGTGTTTCGCCATTGCTCAATCTTCCACCTGAATCTCCAGCACTCAGGGGAGAGAGGCTTGGTAGATTTGCTTGTGTGTGGCTCTTGTGGCTGCAGCCGGGCTTTGCTCTGATCCCTGAAGCCACCAGAGACCCCCCAGCAGCAGAGGATATGATCCGCCAGGGACTGCTGCTGCTCCTGCTGGTCCTGGGTGGAGGTGAGTGTAAGGGCGAGGCAGCGGCAGGGAGGAAGGAAGGAAGCTCTGGGGGGGGGGGAGCGGAAGGGGAGCCCTCCTGGATCAGGCCAAAGAGGTCCACCTGGTCCAGAAACCTGTGGCCAAATACCCCATAGAACCTAGGAAGCTAGGTAGACTTCCTCTGGCCTTGGAGGTTCCATAATGCAACCCAGTCAATGATGGGTGGGGTATAAATAATAAAAAGATGGTGTTACAGAAATGCCATGGGGGCGGCCACATCTTTAAATTAGTAGAAAATCAATAGATTAACCAACTCTCCTCATTCCAACGCCATTTTAACCCTTCAAGAAATGTGAATTTGGGCTCCACCTCCCTCCGTGAACCAAGCGTGAGAGCACAGACACGGCCCCCCACCCAGGGAGTGACCAGGGGGGCAACCTTAGACATCCACAGAGGCAGTTGAGCAGGTCAAGTGTTCTGAAAGCCCATCTCCAGGCAAGTCCTGAGGGCAAGGAGATGTCAAGAGTTTTATTGTTCTTTTGGTGATGGGCACTTAAGAGGGTATGGGATGCGGGTGGCGCTGTGGGTTAAACCACAGAGCCTAGGACTTGCCAATCAGAAGGTTGGCGGTTCGAATCCTTGCAATGCGGTGAGCTCCTGCTCTGGCGGGAAGGTAAATGGTGTTTCCGTGCGCTGCTCTGGTGACATTGCCAATAAAGCGAGATGAGCACTGCAACCCCTTTACCTTTACCTTTACTTAAGAGGTGTTGGGAAAGGTTTCTGATAAAGGGACCTAATGTTGAACTTGCATAACCCTTGCAGACCCCTCCCCGTTTGTGACATGCCAGTGATGTAGTGATGATGTATCCATGATGCCTCTCAAAGTGTATTCTGGGGGAAAGAGGGAAGTTTTAAAAGAGGACGTTGCCCCATGCTCAAGGTTCTTACTCCTGGGGGGACCTGTAGTGCAACAATAAGGACCATGGTCTACTGACCGCTGTTTTGCTCCAAATTACTTGGCTGGAACTTTCTTTCACTGACCACATGGACCCGAGACAAGCAGGGCTGTTGAGTGGTCTCTCACCCCAGAATTTTTTCCATAACAAGCCAAACTATGAGGGAGATGGAAGGGACGTGGGTAGAGCTGTGGGTTAAACCACAGAGCCTAGGACTTGCAGATCAGAAGGTCGGCGGTTCGAATCCCCGCGATGCGGTGAGCTCCCACTCTGGTGGGAAGGTAAACGGTGTTTCTGTGCGCTGCTCTGGTTTGCCAGAAGCGGCTTAGTCCTGCTGGCCACATGACCCGGAAGCTGTACTCCAGCTCCCTTGGCCAATAAAGTGAGATGAGCGCCGCAACCCCAGAGTCGGTCACGACTGGACCTAATGGTCAGGGGTCCCTTTACCTTTACCTATGATGGAGATAACCAGGCAGAGACGGGGAAGCAGCCAAGCTACATTGAATTGGGAGAATTAAGGGAGGGGGGAGAGCAGTTAGGGAACACTTCAATAGACAGTGTGAAAGCGCCTGGGGAGGGGGAAAGGAGGAGGAGCCCAATGGAGAAACTCCATCATGGAGCAAAGGCTGGAATTCTTTGTCTGTTATCTCAGCGACTGAATAAAGCATACTGTATTTTTCCGTGTATAAGACGAGCTTTTTTGACCCCAAAATGAGGTTCAAAATCTAGGCTCGTCTTATACACGGGTAGTGCTGAGGGGGGATGTGCGAATGGTTTTTTAGCACGAGCCCAAGATTGTAAGCGGCGATTCGCCACTTGATTGTTTGTGTTTTTAAGTAGTTTTTAAGCAGCGATTGACTGCTTGATTGTTGTGGGGAGGGATCCCGAAAACTGCTCACCTGCCAGAACGCAGCACACAACAGCTCTCGTCGCAGCTGCCTGAAGCCACCAAGAGCTTTTGCTACTTCCTTTACAAAGCAGAAACCCACAAACTTCTGCCTTTTTGGGTCTGTTTAGCCTGGGAAAGAGGAGGCAGAGATATTGGCCATCTCCCCATATCTCCCCATGGAAGAGGGAGCAGGCTTGTTTTCTCCTGCTCCTGGAGGGCAGGACTCGAACCCGTGGCTTCACCTCTTGAATTATTCTGATTTATCCGCAATAGGGAGTACGGACTCATCCAGAACGCCACACGGGGCGGCAGCTGACGAGAGCAATGGGGTGTTTCAGAGATGCAAGCGCTTGGAACCGGACTCTTCGAGGTGGAACGGAGGAATGCAAGGTTGGAAGGGGGCACAGAAACCCCCCAGGGCACTCTCACCCCCCAGGGCAGAGGGGGAACCAGGGCCTTCCTCCAAGGACCAGAAGGAGGGCCTGCAGGATCAGGCCAGAGGGGGGCCTACCTGGCCCAGCATTCTCTTCCCCCAGGGGCCAACCAGAAAGTGTGTGTGTGGGGGGGTGAGTGTTCAGACCCCTGGGCTCTCACTTTGTGGGGTGCCTCGGGGTTCCGTCCTCCCCCCATGCTTTTTAACTTCCACATGAAGCCACTAGAAGAGATCATCAGGGGGTTTGGGCTGGGAGTTTATCAATATGCTGATGACACCCAGCTCTACCTCTCTTTTAAATCAGAAACATTTAGGGCACTGCAGGTCCTGTGTGAGTGTCTGGAGGTGGTTAGAGGATGGATGGCGGCTAATGGATTGAGGTTGAATCCTGACAAGACAGAAGTACTGTTTTTGGGGGACAGGGGGCGGGCAGATGTGGAGGACTCCCTGGTCCTGAATGGGGTAACTGTGCCCCTGAAGGACCAGGTGCACATCCTGGGAGTCATTTTGGACTCACCGCTGTCCATGGAGGCGCAGGTCAATTCTGTGCCCAGGGCAGCTGTCTACCAGCTCCATCTAGTACACAGGCTGAGACCCTCCCTGCCTGCAGACTGTCTCGCCAGAGTGGCGCATGCTCTAGTTATCTCCTGCTTGGACTACTGCCAGGTGCTCTGCGTGGAGCTACCTTTGAAGGTGACCCGGAAACTGTAATTAATCAAGAATGCGGCAGCTAGACGGGTGACTGGGAGCAGCCGCCAAGACCATATAACACTGGTCCTGAAAGACCTACATTGGCTCCCAGTACATTTTTGAGCACAATTCAAAGTGTTGGTGCTGACCTTGAAAGCCCTAAACGGCCCCAAAGGCCCAGTAGATCTGAAGGAGCGTCTCCACCCCCATCGTTCTGCCCGGACACTGAGGTCCATCTCCAAGGGCCTTTTGGCGGTTACCTCCCTGCGAGAAGTGAGGTTACAGCGAACCAGGCAGAGGGCCTTCTCGGTGGTGGCACCCGCCTTGTAGACCTTGTAGAGTTATCAAGCCATCCTTGTGTTTTTATACAAATAATGTTTGAAGCTGTTACCCTTTTTGAAACTAAGTTATACTGTCTGTGTCCTCTTGCTGCTGTATGGAAAAGCACATGAAATACTTTGTAAGTAAACCATTTTTAACTTACCAAACATGCAGTCTCTTTTATGCCAAGGGAGGTGGGAAACTTTGGGAAGTGACTTAAAAGGAGATATTTTAAAGGTAAAACAGGGTATATTGCCTGTTTTGTGATTTTAAATCTCTGCTGTGGCTCTATCACCAAAAGTGCTTTCTCCCAAACTTGGATTTATGCCTCCAGAAGAATTTCCATTTATCCGTTAACCCAAATACTAAAATAACCAGTCTTTTCTTCTGCTTTTCTTTCTCTCTCTCTCTCTCTGTTCTGCTTCCTTCGCAGATTGTTCCACTTGCTTCCCGGAATACCACATCTGGCAACCTTGCCATCTCACGGCCAGGACAAAGGAATTCGTCACCCTGCCCTGCACCTTCAACTACACCTGGGAGCCTCAAGAGTCGGCCCAGGTGTATTGGCGCTTAGGAAACTTCTTTGGAGAGTTCATCTTCAACCACACCCACAACCCCACCCACAGGTACACCCACCCGAACTACACAGGGCGTGTGTCTCTGGTCGGGGACCTGTCAAAGGGGCTCGATGCGTCAATCCAGATCGCGAATCTGCAGGAGTCGGACTCCAATCTATATTTCTGCACCGTCTCCGTACAGACACTTCATGAAGGTGTGAAGTATTGGCGAAACATCGAGGGGACAAACCTCACGGTCACAGGTGAGCTGGCACATTTTTAAAAATGATGCTTATTTTTGAGTGTTTCAGTTTTACAATTACACTTCCATCCCCTTCTTATACAATAGTTCTGTTTGACTTCCCACCCAGCGTTCCGTGACTGTTCTTTTTACATCTTGCTTAGCTGCAAATACATTAATTATTCCTTCGCCCTATTTTCCACACTCTCGCATCTTTCATAGTAACAACTGTTGGTCACAAAGTACCCCCTACCGGGAATTTATATTTGAGGTCCATTTTTTTGGTAAATATTGCCCATGGTATTCTCTTGGTTTCCTCTCTCTTGCATATTCTATCCTTGCTGCTGCTGTTGCGTATAAAAATAGGTTGTGGGCTTTCTTTGGTAATTCATTCCCAAGTACACCTGTGAGAAATTCTTCCCATTTCTTGGGGAAGGTAAATTTAAAGATTTTCTTTAACTCATTGTACACCACCTCCCCAAAGTCTTTGGCCCATTTACAGTTCCACCATAAATGAATAAAGGAACCCTCTGCTTCAAGACTTTTCCAACACATTTTTGGAATTTATTTTGTACACTTAAGCCAATTTAACTGGTGTCAAATACCATCTATACTGCATTTTATATCTATTTTCTCTTATTTGATAACATGCCGAAAAATTCATTGTCCATAATTTTCCCCACTCATCAATTCTGATATTACGCACCATATCAATAGCCCATTTTTTCATAGCCTCCTTAATGAGTTTGTCTTTAGTCTCCCACTCTAGCAGCAGTTTATATATTTTAGAGATTAGTTTTTTATTGGCCCCAAAAATCACCCTTTCAAATTCCGATCCTTCTTGGACAAATCCTCTCTTTTTGTCTTTTTAAAGCTTCTCCTTTATCTGGAAGTATTGAAACTAGATGTGTATCCAATTAGACACCTCCTCCCTATCTTTTAATGTTATGTTGCCATCTTTGTATCCAAGGAGATCTTTGTACATATCCTGTCCACGTCTAGCCTTTTCACTGCAACCACTTCCACCGGTGAGATCCAGCCAGGAGTCTTTCTTTCCAAAATACCTTTATGTCTCATCCAAACCTTCCATGTTGTTGTTGTTGTTTAGTCGTTTAGTCGTGTCCGCCTCTTCGTGACCCCCTGGACCAGAGCACGCCAGGCACTCCTGTCTTCCACAGGCACCCGCACTTTGGTCAATCTCATGCTGGTAGCCACGAGAACACTGTCCCACCATCTCGTCCTCTGTCATCCCCTTCTCCTTGCGCTCTCCATCTTTCCCAACATCAGGGTCTTTTCCAGGGAGTCTTCTCTTCTCATGAGGTGGCCAAAAGTCTTGGAGCCTCAGCTTCAGGATCTGTCCTTCCAGTGAGCACTCAGGGCTGATTTCCTTCCAAATGGAGAGGTTTGATCTTCTTGCAGTCCATGGGACTCTCAAGAGTCTCCTCCAGCACCAAAATTCAAAAGCATCAATTCTTCGGCGATCAGCCTTCTTGATGGTCCAGCTCTCACTTCCATACATCACTACTGGGAAAACCAGAGTTTTAAGGACCTTAAACCTTCCGTAGACTCCTTCTAATCATGTGATTCAAAAATCCCTTGCACACCCTAGTTTTCTTATACCAGAGGTACACATACCATCCGTAGAGCAAATCAGCTCCTTCTAAGCCCAGTACATTTGCATTCTTCAATTTGACCCACTCCTTCATCCAGCTTAGACAGGTTGCTTCATAATATAATTGCTTGAACACCATTCGTAAAGGCCAATCCTATGTCCATATAATCTAGGATCTTTGTCGCAAAGGTCCATGAGACATTGTCAAAGGCCTTTTCCTGGCAGCGGCATTGTTATTCTTGAACCTCAGTCACCATACATGGTGACAAGACTTCTCAAAGTGCTCACATTCTCACAATCCCCAGTCACAAAATGTGCCTGGCTAATTTTGAACACTGCCTCAGCCCCTCTCTCCACAGCAGCCCCCTTCTCCCCAGGGTTGGCACTCCATTCTGCTTGGTTCAAAGGGCCCCCTGGGGGATGGCAGTGGAGCCTGAGGCAGAGCAGAAAATGGGGCTCCACCCTCTCCCAGACAAAGGGCTGCGGAGGACCCAAAGTGACCACCCGAGGCAGGTAGACCCACAAGTGCCTCCCCACCACCACCCTAGACAGCGAAAATCCCACACCACAGAAAACACATTAGCTACATCTTCCCACAGAGAAGATGGAGCCAGCTTGCTTCCTGCTGCTCCAGAGGGCAGGACCTGAACCAATGGATCCACATTGCAAGAAAGGAGATTTTGACTAAACATTAGGAAGAATTTTATCAGGGTAAGAGCTTGTTCAACAGAGGAACTGTCTCAAAAAACAAACACAAAACAACAACACAGGGGAATGGTCTCCCCATAAGGTGGCGGCCTCTCCTTCCTTGGAGCCTTTTCCTTGGATGGCCACCTGTCAAGGAGTCTTCAGCTGTGATTCCTGTATGGCAGGGGGTTGGGCTGGATGACCTTGAAGGTCCCTTCCAAACATGCAGTTTTATATTTCAACGAGGCGCTGCTCTCTCCCCAATGCTGAGGAGGTGCAATTGCAAATGGCAGGCGCTCAGATCAGGAGTCCCTTGAGGGTGCATGAAACGGCTTGTGGGCTCCTGTGGGTGCCCCCCCATCCTTGAAAGAAATGCCCTTGTGCCAGGCCACTGCAGTGTGTGCCCGTCCTCAGCCTCTGCCTTGTGCCTCAGCCTAAGTCTTGCTTTCTTCCTGCCCCCCAGGTCCTCCACTGCCGGACCCCCCCCCCAGCTTCAACTTCGGCCTTGTAGGTCTGGTGATTAAGGGAACCCTCGTAGGTGCCCTCCCTCTGGGGCTGCTGGTGTTCCTTGTCTGGAGAAAAGGTAGGGGGGCTGTTGTGGGGCAGGGAGGGAGGGGGCAGTTACTGCGCTAGGGTCCGTCTCTCCCTCCAAAAGCTCCCAGCACCAGATGTTGGCTTGGGGAGGAGAGGGGAGGCAGAGGAAGATGAGCGGAGGGAGGTGGGGGCAAGGAGAATTGTATTTCAACATTCAGTTCATAAGTTTAGTGCAGGGGTAGGCAAACTAAGGCCCAGGGGCTGGATCCGGCCCTGTTAAGTTGTGGGTGAACATATCAGACGACACAGTGATTCTTCAAACAGCTCTTGTTTATTCAGAGGCCAGAACAGAACTGAACTGAGGAGCGCAGTCAGCCTGCTTATATAGAGCTCCAGTACAACGTTACTGTAGCAACTTTCTAAAACTATCCAATCACTGAATGTCACTTTCAACCCTTCATTTGCATAACTATCTACAGTATCCCCCTGTTGGCCCAGGGTGAGAACTTCAGTACATAACAGGCCCAATTGCCTTCTCAATCTGGCCCACGGACGGTCCAGGAATCAGCATGTTTTTACATGAGTAGAATGTGCCCTTTTATTTTAAAATGCATCTCTGGGTTATTTGTGGGGCATAGGAATTCGTTCATTATTCTGCGTAATGCAGAACTAGCCAGACTGACAGGAAGAATTCGAGACCAGGATGAACAGAAGTTTCAAGAAAGTTGGAGTAAACTTATGGTGTACATAAAAGATCATTGTAAAGCCTTAAAAACACTGGCAGGACTGGAATAACTCTTACAACGTATGGCAGATATAAAGTTAAATAAACAGAATACGCAATATAAGAAAATATAAGATACTCATTGAAGGGGTAGAGGGAAGTCTTAAGCTTGGCAGAGCTAAGGTAATTATGTGATATATGTGTATTACAACTGGATGTTTAAAGAAAATAATAAACATTTATTGGGGGAGAAAGGAATTTGTTCATTATTATTATTTTCCCCAAAAATATAGTCCAGCCCCCCACAAGGTCTGAGGGACAGTGGACCGGCCCCCTGCCAAAAAGGTTTTCTGACCCCTGGCCTAAAACTTGCCTCTCTAAGCTGCAAAGGGATGCTCCCTGCTGAACTCACAAGGAAGGACGGATAATCTCTAATGTGCTCTCGGCATCTATTCACATCCCTACAATCCCAACTTTACAAGTCTACGACCTCTTAGTGTTGGGTCACCCCTGTCAGCCAGACTTGAATTCGTTCATTATTTTTTCCTTCAAAATATAGTCTGGCCCACCACATGATCTGAGGGACGGTGGACCGGCCCACGGCTGAAAAAGTTTGCTGACCCCTGGTTTCGTGTTCTAGCCAAAGGTCATGTCAAATTTGTATTCGGCAAGAGTATTAATAAAATTATCCAGAACATCCACCCATAATCTTAAAATCCACAATATAAAAACTTGACTTTGCCAATTCCTGATCATTAAAATGCAGTTTCCCTTCTGCATCTCCGACAGCTCCAATTCTAACAATATTTCGCCTTTTTAAGATTTTCCAACATCCGCGAGTTAAGAGAGAGAGTTGATGCCAGAGACAGCAACAAACGTACTGTGGGATATTTACAATCCTCTCCTCGCATCTCTACACATCCCTGCACTATCTTGATTTCAGATTAGACCTCCGAATCATCAAAACAATTTATAGCAATTTTATCTGACTCATTCTTTTCCTGTTGTTGTTTTTCCCAGCCTGTGCAAAGAGAACTGCTCCATCTGTCACAAAGCCATGATTGTCGCTCCAAAGAAACCGACCCATTTCTGCCGGCGTGTGTGAATAAATCTCTCAGAAATCGATGTCTTGGATAAACACAAGGTGCCTACAAGGTCTTTTGATAGTGGGCTGTATATAAATTTAATTAACAATAACAAATAAATACATTTATTAATGAATCAAATATATTTTATTATTATTAATAATAGCTGTCTCCTGGTGCCAGAGGTTAAAGAAAAATAGGGGTTGCCGCTGCAGCCCACGCTTCACTCGGGGGACTTGCAGTCCTGCAAGGTCCACTTGTGGGCCAGGAGGGAAGCAAGAAACTGCAGCCAGGTACCGTATTTTTCGCTCTATAAGACGCACCAGACCACAAGACGCACCTAGTTTTCGGAAGAGGAAAACAAGAAAAAAAATATTCTGAATCGCAGAAGCCAGAACAGCAAGAGGGATCGCTGCGCAGCCTGCATTCGTTCCATAAGACGCACACACATTTCCCCTTACTTTTTAGGAGGGAAAAAGTGAGTCCTATAGAGCAAAAAAAATACGGTATATAGAAAGCAGGGCAGCTAGTAAGCCGGATATTTATTTTTCTGGGGTGGCTTTCAAAAATCCAGAACACTTGCTGTCGCTCAGAGAACCACTCCAGTTCACTCTGTGCACGAGGTCTTTGCTTTGAGTTCCATTCACAAACAAGCTATTCCATTCATTAAACTATTTCCATTCACAAAACAGGACTCAGCCTGTGTCTCCACTTCACTGCCTGCTGTTTGACGGACAAGGTGATGACGCACAAGGTCGCCGCGGTTTCTTTAACTGTTCAAGGAAAAGAGGATGCAAATTCCCCCCAAATGATTTTTATTAGTTTTCCAAATTATTACAAATCAAATTGAATTAATTTAATACAATTCCTTAAAATCAGGTTCCCCACTCTGGTTCCAAGCATATGATCACCATCATTTCCTCGCATTAGCGCATCATTTCTTATTTAGAGTCCAGTTGACGTCCTTCACTTGCTGTTAGACATTCTTTCAGCTGTCCGCTTTTCCCACCTTACAAACAGCACCTCCATTACATCTTTAAAATATATTGGTATGAGCTTTCGTGTGCATGCACACTTCTTCAGTGTGTATCTGAAGAAGTGTGCATGCACACGAAAGCTCATACCAAGAACTAACTTAGTTGGTCTTTAAGGTGCTACTGGAAGGAATTTTTTGACTATGGCAGACCAACACGGCTACCTATCTGTATCTTTAAAATAAGTAATCCGTTCCATGTGTGTAAGTCCTTCATATATGTTGTTGTTGTTCCAGACCTGGTGTACTGGGAGAGTTCATTACTATCTTCCATTGTCAAGTTCTTTGCAGTGTTTATCTGGATGGTACAAGGTTACATTCCGTTCCTTCCGCTGTTTACAGACTAGCGTACGAGCTGCAGCCATAAATAACTCACAGAGTGCATCTCCAGTCTCTGCCATTAAAATTTTGCTCTGGAGTTCTTCCTCGGCAAACAGAAACAAGATTTTTTTCTCAAATTCAGCCTCTTTGCCAGATCTGTTCGGCAGCAGTTCATTCTTTTTTCACTGCGTTGCTCCATCAGCGCTCCTGGTCCAGTCCAGGAATAATTTTAAATAAAGTCCATTCAGCTTCGGTTGAGGCGGGGAGGGCATAGTAAAGTCTTGCTAAGTTCCTTGCTGAGCATAAATCAAAAGCCTCCCCCCTTTTCCGAAGTAACGAACAGAATAGCACAACAGCGGCTGCAAACGTCTCTTTCATTTTGCAGGGGAGGACAAGAAGAAAAGAGACAATTTGAAACCCATAAGAAAGCACAAAGCCCCTTGTCCTCCCCTGCAAAATGAAGAAACCAGAGGCCTTTCTCCTGGGTATGGTCGGCCAATTGGTGCCAAAGAAGGATAGAACTTTTTTTATGTATGCTACAACAGCAGCAAGAATACTCACTGCAAAGTATTGGAAGACAGAAGAATTACCCACCGTGGAAGAATGGCAGATGAAAGTTATAGACTATATGGGACTGGCAGAAATGACCGGCAGAATCCGAGACCAGGGAAAAGAGACGGCGGAAGAAGACTGGAAGAAATTTAAGGACTATCTTAAGAAACATTGTAAAATTATTGAATGTTAGAACGATGTTGGTTTAGAAATCAAGTGGTTTCTAGCTGTAATGCTAATGTAATCAAGAAAAGAAATGTTGAAAATCAATAGAAATTATGGGGGGGATTTGCTGAATTAAATAACTAGAAATTGGAATACAGAAAGGGGAGGTATGAGGAGGTCGGGAAAGTAAGGAATTAAGAAAATAAGGGATCGAAATTATACTTGTTGTCTGTGTTTGTATTTTTGTTCTTTTTATATATATTTTTTGAAACTTCAATAAATATCTAAAAAAAAAAAAAGCCCCTTGTCCTCCCCTTCCTTCCCAGGCTCTTGTCAGGATTCTCAAACTTCAGGGAAAAAAGATTCAGATACCTTCAAAGAGCCAAGCCCAGTCCTTTCGGCAGCTGAGTGATTGCAGCCCATTAACATATATCGGTCCAGGAGCTCCTCTTGATTCATGCCAAGTGTCCGAATTATGCAGGAACAAGTCACAAACAACACCGGAGACGGAGGTTTGTCCATGGCAGGGACACGCTCCCAGGTCGCAGACTCCCAGTAGGCAGACCCGGGCTTGAGCGGCGCAACGGGGTGCAGGGACTGTGGGATGTCAAACTGCAGTCAAGCACAACATTCCTACAGTGGATGTGTCAGGGGATGTTTTGTCCCACTCTGGAGAAGACTTCCAGTTTCCTCCTGAGCTGGGACAGACTTGAAGAGGACGCGGCCTGTTGTTCTAGCACGGAGGAGCCCACAGCCTCCATGTTCGGATCCGTGTCTCTTCTCCATTTTGGATGTTGCTGTGTGTTTGGAGAAGCGGCTGCTTAGTCGCAGTCACTCAGGACTCACTTCTTTATGGAATAGTTCTGGTTCTTATGTAACCCAAGCCTGCCTTCAGGGATATGCCTGTGAACCTGAATGAATCTGTCAGTAAACTACTTTTATATTAACATTAGTCAGATTCTTGTGTTTATTCTTTTTAAGAGGGATTAAAAGGGTGGCGCTGTGGGTTAAACCGCAGAGCCTAGGACTTGCCAATCAGAAGGTCGGCGGTTCGAATCCCCGCGACGGGGTGAGCTGCCGTTGCTCGGTCCCTGCTCCTGCCAACCTAGCAGTTCGAAAGCACGTCAAAGTGCAAGTAGATAAATAGGTACCACTCCGGCGGGAAGGTAAACGGCATTTCCGTGCACTGCTCTGGTTCGCCAGAAGCGGCTTAGTCATGCTGGCCACATGACCGGGAAGCTGAACGCCGGCTCCCTCGGCCAGTAAAGCGAGATGAGTGCCGCAACCCCAGAGTCGGTCAACTCCTCAGCTCGGGAGTAAGGTGGCACCCTGGGGCCACCTTCCCACAAATGCTGCTGGGGCGGTTTAGAACTCCGAAGTGGAGGCAGCGGCAGCCCTTGACCTCGTCTGGAGACCTCTCAGGTTTCCTGGGCAAAGCAAATGGTGAGGTTCGGGCTCTCCTTCGAGCTTCCATAAGCCCAACTTGGGATGGTCCTCGGACGGAGGCGTATGGCAAACCCAGGAGCCACCTCCGGGGCTGGTGGGTATCCAACGCTGCTGCTTTTAGTTGATGCAATGCTTGCCTTGCCCAGGGCACTGGCAACCTGTGCTATGCCACTGCTCAGGGGAGCCCGTCTAGGCCAGCATCCTGTTCTCAGAGTGGCCACCCAGATGCCCCAATGGGAAAACCTGAGCACAAGACCAGCTCTCCTGTCCTGCTGTTTCCAGAAGGTGGCATCCAGAAGTTTTGCTGCCGCTGACTGTGGTGGCAGAGCAGAGCCATCCTGGCCAGCAGCCCTCAATAGCCCCCTCAATAATAATAATAATAATATTTTTTTATTTATATCCCGCCCTCCCCAGCCGAAGCCGGGCTCAGAGCGGCTAACAACAATAAAAAGTAACGCAGCATTCTAAAACCAATTCATTCTAAAATCAATTCAAATCAAATTAATGGCAACGATTGGGCTGGAGTTCTGTGAGGACTACAGAAGGAGGGGGGTCAGACTGTGCCCTGGCCAAAGGCCTGGTGGAACAGCTCTGCCTTGCAGGCCCTGCGGAAAGATGTCAAGTCCCACAGGGCCCTAGTCTCTTGTGACAGAGCGCTCCACCAGATCGGGGCCACAGCCGAAAAAGCCCTGGCTCTGGTTGAGGCCAGCCTAACCTCCCTGTGGCCCGGGACCTCCAATATGCTTTTGTTTGAAGACGGTAAGGTCCTCCGTGGGGCATACCAGGAGAGGCGGTCCCATAGGTATGTGGGTCCTAGGCTGCATAGGGCTTTAAGGGTTAAAACCAGCACCTTAAGCCTGATCCTGTACTCCACCAGGAGCCAGTGCAGCTGGTATAGCACTGGGTGAATGTGATCCATGAATTGGCCCAGTCCTCTTTCAAAGCCATCTGAGCTGGGGGCCACCGCTGCTTCCGGTGGAAGGGAGTTCCACCGTCTACACTGTGTGGAGGGTTTTGTTTCATCTGCCCTGAGTCCTCCAAGATCCAGCTTCGTTCAACGTCTGCAGGTTCCACTGTTATGGCACGAGGTGCCAGGCAAAGTTTCATAATTCCACTCTACCCCCCTCCCCCGCCAGCTGGGAGGCTTGTGCCATGGGGCCTCCCCTCCTCCCCACCCCACCCCTCTTCAACTCCCCCCCCCAGTTGCACCATTGCCTCAGAGGAAGGAAGGAAGGAAGGAGGCTGGTTCTGTGGCAGTGAGTCAGGCGACTGGGGGCACCTCGACTGCCCCCTCCTTGCCGCCCCCCCCCGGCTCTTTGCTTGTGTCACTGCAAAGGAGGAAGCGGAAACATCATCTGTACAATTGCAAATGCTTAAGGAAAGCACCGTCACCATTGCAGGGATGGAGGATGGGGGGAGGGAGCCAGGGAGAAGCTGATGGGCATTTTGTTGGCATCTGCAAGCTTGGCAAGGCGTCCTGAGAACAATATCTGGAGGGTACGGGGGGGGGGTCGTGGGTTGGCTCATTGTGGCAGGATCAGGCCAAAGAGGGATTCTTGAGCTGTGGTTTTGGCATTGCAGGGGGCTGGAGTAGATGGCCCTTGGGGTTCCCTTCCAGCTGTGCCATTCTGTGTCCCTGAATCCCCTTCTCACCTCGCAGGGGGTCTGGCAGGTGCCTGTTTCTTGCAAGAAGGGGCGATCTCTTTCCTTTATTGAAAGCGCTTCTGAGAATCTGATCTTTTCCCTGCAGGGCAGAAATAAAGACAGCCTAAGCAAAGGCACTGTGGGTTAAACCAGTGAGCCTAGGACTTGCTGATCAGAAGGTCAGCGGTTCGAATCCCCGCGATGACGGAGTAAGCTCCTGTTGCTCGGTCCCAGCTCCTGCCAACCTAGCAGCTCAAAAGCACACCAGTGCAAGCAGATAAATAGGTACCGCTCCAGCGGGAAGGTAAACAGCGTTTCTGTGCGCTGCTCTGGTTCTCCAGAAGCGGCTTAGTACTGCTGGTCACATGACCCGGAAGCTGTATGCCGGCTCCCTTGGCCAATAAAGCGAGATGAGCGCCGCAACCCCAGAGTCGGCCACGACTGGACCTAATGGTCAGGGGTCCCTTTACCTTTAAAGCAGAAAATGAAGCAATAAGCCCAAGAAGAAGAAGAAGAATGAAATGAACCAACATTAGCTATGGAAATCCAAATGCCCAATGTCCACACGTGGAGACCCAGGGCTAAGGGGGCACCTTCACTGGGCAACAACATCAGTCAGTGTTGTGGTGTGAGAGCCAGCTCTGCAGGGAACCACAGAATGGGAGAGTCGAAAGGGACCCCCAGTGGTCATCTAGCTGAACCCCCTTGTTGTGCAGGAATCTTAGCTAAAGCATTCCAGGCAGGTGGCCCTCTGACCGCTGCTTGAACATCTCCAGTGAGGATGTCCTTGGCCGCCTGGTGGGTCAGGCTTGCTCCCAGTCCCAGGAAGGTGGGGGCCTCATCCATTGCTGGGCTGGGGGGCTTGGGTCCCTTTGCTCAGAGGCCTCCCAGATTTTCAGGCGAGCAACACCCCACTTCCTCCTCCTCCTCCTTCTCCTCCTCCTATCTGCTGGCTGTGGCAACAGGACTTCCCTGTCAGATGGGCTCTGCTGTTGCTCAATCTGCCACCCGAATCTCCAGCGCTCAAGGGAGAAGGGGCTTGCTGGATTTGGCCGTGTGTGGTGGTCTTGTTCCTGCTCCCTGAAGCCACCAGAGACCCCCAGCAGCAAAGGATATGATCCACCAGGGACTGCTGCTGCTCCTGCTGCTCCTGGGCGGAGGTAAGTGAAAAGGCGAGGCAGCGGCAGGGAGGAAGGAAGGAAGGAAGCTCGGGGGGGGGGGGGCGGAAGGGGAGCCCTCCTGGATCAGGCCAAAGCGGCCCACCTAATCCAGAATCCTGTTCTCATGGTGGCTGAAGGAAGCAGGTGTAATGAATGAAAATCTGCCCTTCTTCCCTTATGGGGGACACAAGAGCCCTTCTAGAGTCCTTTGTAGGTTCTCCATCGGTCGGAGAACATAACAGAGGCCAAGCAGATAATATTGAGAAGCAAAGCGGCTCGTAAGCCTGATCTTTATTGAACTGTTGCAACAGGGTGCCCCCTTCACACGCAGGAAAGGAGGAGGACCCTGAACCAAGGTGTGCCCGCCCTTATATAGACATTTTAAATTGCCCGCCCTGGAGTCCAAGATCATCCCCCAGAAACTTCATACCTACATCACAGAAAAGGCAGTCTACAACAGAAATCTGAGTGCGTTGTTTATCTCCTGTCTGGCAGGATACCTGCTAATGGCCACTTGACTGGATACCCTGGGGAGCCTGGCCAGTCTTTTGTAATGATAAATACTTAGTTCCTGGGCCAGGTCACAGGCTCACCCTATTCATACACAGACATACCCTTAAGACAGGATTTGTGAAACGAAAAGACAATGGGGAGGCTTTTCCCTTATGGGGGACACAAGAGCCCTTTTAGAGTCCTTTGCAGGTTCTCCATCGGTCGGAGAAAAGAACAGAGGCCAAGCAGAGAATATTGAGAAGCAAAGCAGCTCGTAAGCCTGATCTTTATTGAACTGTTGCAACAGGGTGCTCCCCTCACACGCAGGAAAGGAGGAGGACCCAGAACCCAGGTGTGCCCACCCTTATATAGACATTTTAAATTGCCCGCCCTGGAGTCCAAGACCACCCCCAGAAACATCATACCTACATCACAGAAAAGGCAGTCTACAACAGAAATCTGAGTGCGTTGTTTACCTCCTGTCTGGCAGGTTACCTGTTAATGCTCACTTGATTGGATACCCTGGGGAGCCTGGCCAGTCTTTTGTAATGATAAATACTTAGTTCCTGGGCCAGGTCACAGGCTCACTCCCTATTCATACACAGACATACCCTTAAGACAGGATTTGTGAAGGAAAAGACAATGGGGAGACTTTTCCATTTTCCTTTGACTTTGCAGAGAAAACATTTGGTCAGTTTGGGAGCCAAAATGGTTTCAGGGCTGTTTTCTGTGCTACTTCAGACATGTGGAACATATATTTATGTAAATGTTTGCTTGGTACATTTTATGAACATTTACCTGCTTGGCCCTTGGAGACCCCTTCCAACTCTTCAGTCCTTTGGTTTTAGGGGCTCATACTTCCAAAGCTGGCTTCTTGGGAGGGAGTCTCAAGTCCTAGTCCAAATCTTGCTGCTCTTCCAATTCCCATCATCATCATCATCATCATCATCATCATCATCCCTGACATTGGCCATGCTGGCTCCTAGGAAAGCAGGGTGCTCCCCCTAGACCGAGTCTAGACCTTTGAGTCCATCCAGTCCTTCTTCACGCAGCACATACCATATTTTTCGCTCCATAAGACGCACCTAGTTTTTAGAGGAGGGAAAACAAGGGAAAAAATATTCTGAACGAAACAGTGGATTTATGATTTTTGTGGTTCATGCTGTGGCCACAGACATGATATGTGATTTGACGGCGAATTTGAGGTGACCCAAGGCAAAAATCCTGAGGCTCCTTGTGGATCCGTGCTTTGTAACCACGCTTTTGCGCCATTGTGGCCTCACAAAACTGTGGATCCATGGGTTTTTACCTCCCCCCTCCCAGGCAGCCTCCTTTATTGTTAGCCTCCCTTATCTCTCTTCCGATCCCACCGATCAGCTGGTTCCTTTCAACACTCCTTTCCCTCTTGTTTGCCTTAGTGTCTTTTCCTTTTTTGCTCCTCCTTTTCTTCTAATTTCTCTCCTCATTGCTTTAGTCTTCCTGTTTCCCCCCTTTGCAAGTTTGCTGTCTTTACCTCCCCCCTCCCAGGCAGCCTCCTTTATCTCTAGCTCCCTTATCTCTCTCCTGATCGCTTGCCAATCAGCGGCTTTCTTTCAACACCCACTTCCCTCTTTCAAAAAAAGAAGCATAATCTGCTTTTTTCCCCTTGGAACTTCGGCTCCAGGGACCACGCATTCACTCCGTAAGACGCACAGACATTTCCCCTTACTTTTTAGGAAGAAAAAAGTGTGTCTTATGGAGCGAAAAATACGGGTAGACTGTGGAACTCCCTCCCACCGGAGGCAGGAATGGCCACTGACTTGGATGGCTTCAAAGGAAGACGAGACATATCCATAGCCCTGGTCTGCCTCCATTTGTCAGAGGCGGCGATGCTTCTGAATGCCAGTTAGTGAAAACTGTAGGAGGGGAGAGTGGCTCTTGTGTTCGAATCCTGCTTGTGGGTTTCTTATTGGGGCATCTACTTGGCCCCTGTGAGGACAGGAGGCTGGACCACATGGGCCCCTGGTCTAAGCCTGCAGGGCTCTTGGTCTATGTTCTTTCATGATAAATTAGTCCCCTGATTTGCCGTCACAGGACACTTTCAATTGTGTCCCTCAGAGCCGCCCCCGCTGACGTGTGATGCCATTTCCTTCTCCCTGAAACCAGCAAGAGCTGTTGCCACTTCCTTTTCAAAGCAGAAACCCACAAACTTCTGCCTTTTGGGGTCTGTTTAGCCTGGGAAAGAGGAGGCGGAGATATTGGCCATCTCCCCATATCTCCCCATGGAAGAGGGAGCAGGCTTCTTTTCTCCTGCTCCTGGAGGTCAGGACTCGAACCCGTGGCTTCACCTCTTGAATTATTCTTATTCTTATTTACCCGCAACAGGGAGTACGGACTCATCCAAATCGCCGCATGGGGCGGCAGCTGGCGAGAGCAATGGGGCGTTTCAGAGATGCAAGCGCTTGGAACCGGACCCTTCGAGGTGGATCGGAGGAATGCAAGGTTGGAAGGGGGCACAGAAACCCCCCAGGGCAGAGGGGGAACCAGGGCCTTCCTCCAAGGACCAGAAGGAGGGCCTGCAGGATCAGGCCAGAGGGGGGCCCACCTGGAAGCAGAGCACAGCCGTTGTGTCCTGTGTCCCTGAATAGCTCTCTCCAAAAGATTTGCAAAATCCTTTTTTAATGCCACCCCCTCCAACCCACTGGGACCCCCCTTCCATTTGAGTGGCAGAGGGGCAAATGGAACAAGGATTTTTAAAATAAAAACAGCCCAACTTACCATACGTCCAGGTTTTCCCGGAAAACCCGAACGTACGGCAGCCCTTTTTCTAAGAGATGGGACAGATGAGCCACGAATGTTGCAAGATTCAAGACAGATAAAAGGAAGCCCTTTCCTCACACAGACTATGGAACTCCCTGCCACAAGAGGCAGGAATGGCCACCAGCTTGGATGGCTTGAAAAGAGGATTGGGTGCATGAATTCACCCAATCCTCTATTCAAGCCATTCAAGCTGGTGGCCATTCCTGCCTCTTGTGGCAGGGAGTTCCATAGTCTGTGTGAGGACTTTGGCTTGGTCCAGCAGCTGCAAGGCTCTCCTTAGCTCCTTATGGTTCCTAAAGGGAGCCTCCATGGGCAGAGCTGTTGTTGTTGAGTTGTTTAGTCGTGTTTGCCTCTTTGTGACCCCATGGACCAGAGCACGCCAGGCACTCCTGTCTTCCACTGCCTTCTGCAGTTTGGTCAGACTCATGTTTGTAGCTTTGAGAACACTGTCCCACCATCTCGTCCTCTGCCGTCCCCTTCTCCTTGCGCCCTCCATCTTTCCCAGCATCAGGGTCTTTTCCAGGGAGTCTTCTCTTCTCCTGAGGCGGCCAAAGTCTTGGAGCCTCAGCTTCAGGATCTGTCCTTCCAGTGAGCACTCAGGGCTGATTACCTTCAGAATGGAGAGGTTGGATCTTCTTGCAGTCCATGGGACTCTCAAGAGTCTCCTCCAGCACCAGAATTCAAAAGCATCCATTCTTCGGCGATCAGCCTTCTTGATGGTCCAGCTCTCACTTCCATACATCACTACTGGGAAAACCATAGTTTTAACTATACGGACCTTTGTGGGCAGAGCTAGTCTATCTTAAAATACTGGAAAATAAGTGTGGGAGCAGGTTTTGCTCTCCCATACTGCCTGGGGCTTTTCTATGTTCTGTTTTACTTGTTTTTGTGGGATAAATCCAGCCTTATATAACCAACCTGATTAATTGAAATAGAAATACTTGATTGTCACTTGTACAACTTGTATACAGTGAGATGTCACGAGCACCCCCCACTCAGCTCTCTTAGTTTTAATTCCCCTCATTTACTGACGCACACCCACCAAACCCGAAAGTCACTTGCCCTGTTGTTATCTTTTCATTCGGCAGCCTAACAGCCCAGGATAGAAGCTGTTCTTTACCCTGTTGGGGCAACTAATCATGATTCTATATCTTCTGCCCGAGGGCAGGAGATCAAGAAAGTGCCGGCCAGGGTGTGAATCATCCCTGAGAATTTCCCTCACTCTTCTTCTGCTATTTCATCCAGCGGATTCACGGAACAGCCCATAATATCTTGTGCCGTATTCACCACCCTCTGTAGGCACTTCCTATCAGTTGATGTCAAACCAGCGTCCCACACCGTGATTAACCACCTGGGTTGTATTGATTTTCCAAGTAAGGTCTTCACTGAGATAAACTCCTAGGAATTCAAAGGAAGAGACTCTCTCCACACAGCGGGGCTAGTTCTCCTCTCTTCCTCCAAAAGTCCAACACCATCTCCTTTGTCTTGCTGATATTAAGGTGCAAGTTGTTCCCTAGGCACCATGTAGGTATTTTTTGGACCTTCCCTCTATACGCTGATTCATCTCCGCCTGTTATTAAACTCATTATGGTGGTGTCATCTGTAAACTTAATAATTGCAGTAGACGGGTCAGATGATACACAATCGTATGTATGCAATGAATACAGGTAGGGACTCAGCACACATCCCTGTGGGGTGCCAGTGCTGATTTTTAAGGAATTAGATGTTACATGTCCAGTCCTCCCTGTTTGTGTTTGTATCAAAAAGTCTTTAATCCATTTTTAGCTCTAATGCATGAAGAGGTTAAGATAATAGATTAAGCTGTCCTGACAGGTTAGCTAGGTCACATGCCCTCAACTTGGGAGGAAGAGTTATCAAACTCTTTGTTCTTTCTTTCTCTTCTTTTCACTATGTGAACTTCACAGTAAGGATGTTTGAGCTAGATGCCATGAGCTCAGACCTTGTGGAGTTAGCCATCCATCTGTGTTTCTAGGGACGCGGGTGGCGCTGTGGTCTAAACCACAGAGCCTAGGGCTTGCTGATCAGAAGGTCGGCAGTTCGAATCCCCATGAGGGAGTGAGCTCCCATTGCTTGGTCCCTGCTCCTGCCAACCTAGCAGTTCGAAAGCACGTCAAGGCGCAAGTGGATAAATAGGTACTGCTCCGGCGGGAAGGTAAACGGCGTTTCCATGCGCTCTGGTTTCCATTGCAGTGTTCCATTGAGCCAGAAGCGGTTTAGTCCTGCTGGCCACATGACGCTGAAAGCTGTCTGTGGACAAACGCCGGCTCCCTTGGCCTGAAAGCGAGATGAGCAACACCATAGTCACCTTTAACTGTTCCTGTACAAATACTTTTGAAACTATTGCCCTTTTTGAAAGTTGCACTGCCTGTGTTCTCTTGCTGCTGTATGGGAAAACACATGAAAATGACATTTAAAGACTTTGTAAGTAAACCATTTTTAACTTACCAAACCTGTGGTCCCTTTTTATGCTAAGGGGCTTAGATGGGGATATTTTAAAGGTAAAACAGCCTATATTCGGCTGCTGCCTGTTTTGCGATATTAAATCTCTGCTGGGGCTCTCTCATCAAAAAGTACTTGCTCCCCAACTTGGATTTATGCCTCCAGATAATTTTCCTTTTATACGTTAACCCAAATACTAAAATAAATGGTATTTTCTCCTTTCTCTCCCTCCGTTCTGCTTCCTTCGCAGATTGTACCACTTGCTTCCCGAAATACCACATCTGGCAACCTTGCCATCTCACGGCCAGGCCAAATGGATCTGTCACCCTGCCTTGCACCTTCAACTACACCTGGGATGTTCAAGAGACGGCCCAGGTGTATTGGCGCTTAGGAAACTTTTACGGAGAGTTCCTCTTCAAGCACCCCCACGACCCCACCCCCAGGGACACCCTCCCAAACTACACAGGGCGTGTGTCTCTGGTTGGGGACCTGTCAAAGGGGCTTGATGCCTCAATCCAGATCGAGAATCTGCAGGAGTCGGACTCCAATCTATATTTCTGCACCGTCTCCGTACAGACACTTCATGATGGTGTGCAGCATTGGCGAAACATTGAGGGGACAAACCTCACGGTCACAGGTGAGCTGCCCCATCCGCAGGAGGACCCCTCTGTGTCTGGATCTCTCTTGGCCCTCTGCCCCACACCTGTCTCCGCAGCACCCCCCTTCTCCCCAGGGCTGGCCCTCTTTTCTGCTCGGTTCAAAGGAGTATGGGGTGTGTGTGTGTGGCACTGGTGCCTGAGGCAGAGCAGAAAATGGGTCTCCACCCTCCCCCAGCTGAGGGGTGGCAGGGTACCCAAAGGTATTTCAGCACCTGTGGCAGGGAGTTCCGCAAGTGATGCTCCTCCCAGGCTGCAGAAATAACACAAGAGGTTGATAGCATGGCCGCCTTCAAACATCTGAAGGGTTGCCCTGTGGAAAGTGGAGCCAGCCTGCTTCCTGCTTCCGCTCCGGAGGACAGGGCCCAATCCAGGAGTAAACATGAGGAAGAACTTCCTGAGAGTAAAGGCAGTATGACAGTGGAACAGTCTCACTCATGAGCCCTGTCCTTCCTTGGAGGTTTTTAAATTTATTTTATTCTAAAATGTTTCTTTATTATTTCTTCTGGTAGTCCACTGGCAAACCGTTCTGCTTTGCACCCATAGAAATGACCTTTTTATATTGTGGGGAAGGAAGGCCCAAGACATAGTCTGTCATTTGATAGCTACAACTCTTAAGTATTTCATAGAATCATAGAATCATAGAGTTGGAATAGACCACAAAGGCCATCGAGTCCAACCCCCTGCCAAGCAGGAAACACCATCAGAGCACTCCTGACATATGGTTGTCAAGCCTCTGCTTAAAGACCTCCAAAGAAGGAGACTCCACCACACTCCTTGGCAGCAAATTCCACTGTCGAACAGCTCTTACTGTCAGGAAGTTCTTCCTAATGTTTAGGTGGAATCTTCTTTCTTGTAGTTTGGATCCATTGCTCCGTGTCCGCTTCTCTGGAGCAGCAGAAAACAACCTTTCTCCCTCCTCTATGTGACATCCCTTTATTTTCCCTTCTTGAGTCTGGACTGTAACTTCTATTGGGATGTAAATACCTTCTTCAACTCCCTCTTGTCTATCCAGAGAAGGTAAATCGGTAGTACCCATTCTCCCCACGACTCCCCACACTTCATCGCCAGGACTATGGATTATAGTTGCTGTACTTCCATGCCAGTTAAATGAGAGCCAAAAGCAAGTTTGTAATCTAGTAGCTGTGCCAGGGTGAGAAAAACCACAGGCGGGTCTCTTAACATTATCCTCTCCCACAACCAGTTACTAAAGGTAAAGGGACCCCTGACCATTAGGTCCAGTCGTGGCCGACTCTGGGGTTGCGGCGCTCATCTTGCTTTACTGGTCGAGGGAGCCGGCGTACAGCTTCCGGGTCATGTGGCCAGCATGACTAAGCCGCTTCTGGAGAACCAGAGCAGCACATGGAAACGCTGTTTACCTTCCCGCCAGAGGGGTACCCGTTTATCTACTTGCACATGATGTGCTTTCGAACTGCTAGGTTGGCAGGAGCAGGGACCGAGCAACGGGAGCTCACCCCATCATCACAGGGATTAGAACCACCGACCTTCTGATCAGCAAGTCCTAGGCTCTGTGGTTTAACCCACAGCGCCACCCGTGTCCCTTAGCCAGTTACTACCATAGGCAAAATACGGTAAATGCATCACCCAATCCGGCTGGTGTACAGTGCTTAAAGGTCTCCATCTGCTAGAAAGGAGCCCTCAGCCCTTCCTTCCTTTGAGGTTTTTAAACTGAAGTCAGATGGGCACACGTCAAAGGGCCTTTGGCTGCGAGTCCTGAATTGCAGCGGGTTGGTCTGGATGACCTTTGGGGGTCCCCTCCAACCATACGATTCTGTTTCTGCAAGATGTTGCCTCTTCTCGGGGGTCTGCCTCTCTCGGCCTAATGCTGATGCCCAACTCAGGGAGCAGGGAACTGTCTCCACCTGGGGGCTGCTAGGTGTGGGGCCCCCTCCTCAGAAGAAACGCCCTTGTGCCTCAACCCCTGCTTTCTCTCCCCCCACAACCAGGTCCTCCCATGACGGCCCCCCCCAACTTCAACCTCGTGGGTGTGGCGACTGGCGGGGCAGCTGCTGCCGCCGCTGTTGCTGTGGGTCTGCTGGCGTTTGTCGCCTGGAGAAAAGGTACGGGGGGCTGTTTGGGGGGGGCAGGGAGAGGGTCGTGGCTGTGCCAGGGGCCGGCTCTCCCTCTGACCTGGCCCTCCAGGTGGGGCTTCTTCCCAGTGTGGTGATGGTTCCTGCATCTCACCTGCACAGGCACCTGGTACCCCAGCCCTGCTGCCCTGTGAGGCTCAGCCTGGGCCAAACCGCTGCCCCCCCCATTCTCCAGGGCTCCCCCCCCCCAGGAGCTGCTCTCTCTGAAGGCCATTTTCTCCTCTCTGTTCCTCTCCAGGTTGCTGCCCAAAGTGTGCCCAAAAGAGGTGAGTGCCTTTTCTGCCTCCTGCTGGTCACCTTCCTAACTGCGGGGGGGGGCACTGACCGACCTTGGCCCTAGATTGGCTCTGCCACGGCTGGTGACCTGTGGGCAGGACATCCGACCAGCTCAGCTCACAGCAGAGAGGTTGGGTGGCCACCTGTGTTGCAGGAATTTATGTATAGGTTGGGGGGGGGTTTCCCCCTCCAGCAGATACCATGCACCTGCAGCCCACTACCAAAACCAGCACAATCACTTTTGTGACTTGTCCCCACAAAACACTTCATCACAGTTTCTTCCTGCCTATTCAAAGGGCCTTTGCTGCACGATACCAAATGTAAGAATTCACTGATCAATGCATCTGTGTACTGGCTCACTGGGAAAACTTGAGAAATTCATATAGACAGGTGAGCTCAGCTACTCAGGGATAATCTTCCTGGCCTCCTGATACCTGAGTGCCAGACAGGTAGCCATTCCAGAAATAGCAAACCCAGATGAAGACAAAAGGGTGGGATTAACTTGGCTGGGAAACAGGGAAATGTAAATATCTCTTTTGTTACACTTGATGGGTGTTTGGTGGAGGGCAAGGGGAACCATGGGGCAGGGTCCAGGATGCTCAGATTCCGGCCACCAGACCTCCCCTTTCATGATGTAACCGTGATGTATGAGTGATGTAGTTTGGGGGGGGTGTAACATGGGGATTAAAGGTAAAGGTAAAGGTACCCCTGCCCGTACGGGCCAGTCTTGACAGACTCTAGGGTTGTGCGCCCATCTCACTCAAGAGGCCGGGGGCCAGCGCTGTCCGGAGACACTTCCGGGTCACGTGGCCAGCGTGACATCGCTGCTCTGGCGAGCCAGAGCCGCACACGGAAACGCCTTTTACCTTCCCGCTAGTAAGCGGTCCCTATTTATCTACTTGCACCCGGGGGTGCTTTCGAACTGCTAGGTTGGCAGGCGCTGGGACTGAACAACGGGAGCGCACCCCGCCGCGGGGATTCGAACCGCCGACCTTTCGATTGGCAAGCCCTAGGCGCTGAGGCTTTTACCCACAGCGCCACCTGCGTCCCTAACATGGGGATTAGCAGCTAATCAAAGTTTGGGGTCTCTTTTGTTTGGGGCTTCCATCTTGTTCCACCTGGTGGCAGGTGGGAGTCCTGTCACGACAGTCTTCAATCAAGACCAAGCCGACTGGCTGCTGTTTTGCTCTGGGATTCCGGGCTGGGGTCTTTGTTTTTTGTCCAAGGGAGACCTCAGATTTCTCCGTTAACACCTGTCAGGGATGCTTTGGCTGAGATTCTGTTTTTAAAACTACATTTCCAAAAAATAATAATTCACATAAACATTCCAATAGATAAATAGATGTTTCTTTTGTTTGGTCGGCTTCCCATCCCATTTCCCCATTGTGTTTTTTTCTTAAAATTTCTCCCCCTTCCTGCACCCTGTCTTCCCTCTCTTATACCATAAGGACAATGCAATAATCTCTCATTCCATCTGTTGCTCAGTTTGAATCCTGCTTGTGAATTCATCATTCTATAACATTTCTTTAAATTGACCGAAAAAGGCTTCCATTCATTCACAAAACAATCGTCATAGAATCATAGAGTTGGAATAGACCACAAGGGCCATCGAGTCCAACCCCCTGCCAAGCAGGAAACACCATCAGAGCACTCCTGACATATGGTTGTCAAGCCTCTGCTTAAAGACCTCCAAAGAAGGAGACTCCACCACACTCCTTGGCAGCAAATTCCACTGTCGAACAGCTCTTACTGTCAGGAAGTTCTTCCTAATGTTTAGGTGGAATCTTCTTTCTTGTAGTTTGGATCCATTGCTCCGTGTCCGCTTCTCTGGAGCAGCAGAAAACAACCTTTCTCCCTCCTCTATGTGACATCCTTTTATATATTTGAACATGGCTATCATATCACCCCTTAACCTCCTCTTCTCCAGGCTAAACATGCCCAGCTCCCTTAGCCGTTCCTCATAAGGCATCGTTTCCAGGCCTTTGACCATTTTTGTTGCCCTCCTCTGGACACGTTCCAGTTTGTCAGTGTCCTTCTTGAACTGTGGTGCCCAGAACTGGACACAGTACTCCAGGTGAGGTCTGACCAGAGCAGAATACAGTGGCACTATTACTTCTCTTGATCTAGATCCATTTGGTTCTCTTATTTTATTTGGTATTTTATTTGGTCATTTGGTTCTCTTATTTTAAGTTGTTATGTTTTCTGATTCAACGCTGACCATCATCCCTTTACCAATTATTCGTTCTTCTTCGGTGGGAATTTCTTCATCTTTCCATTTCTGGGTATAAGGAATTCTAGCTGCTGTAGTTGCAGGCATAAACAACCGCTTTAAGCCTGGCGGTGAAAATCGGCCTTTTTCCTTTTACATCAGTTATTCTTTTGAATTCAACCCTTCTTGCAAGGCACCCCTACAGCCCCAGGGTGCTTTGAGGGGGGGGCAACTATGTGACCACCCAGGACTTGTCTTGCAGGAGAGCATCGCCCCAGAGCAAGCAGACGCCAGAGGAGAGAGAATACGAGGAGTTTCCCATTGAAGGTGAGCTGGGGTGGAAAAGCAGATAAAGGCTAAAGGGACCCCTGACCATTAGGTCCAGTCGTGACCGACTCTGGGGTTGCGGCGCTCATCTCGCTTTACTGGCCGAGGGAGCCAGAGTACAGCTTCTGAGTCATGTGGCTAGCATGACTAAGCCGCTTCTGGCGAGCCAGAGCAGCACACGGAAACACCGTTTACCTTCCCGCCAGAGTGGTACCTATTTATCTACTTGCACTTTGACATGCTTTCGAAGTACTAGGTTGGCAGGAGCAGGGACCGAGCAACGGGAGCTCACCCTGTTGCGGGGATTCGAACCGCCAACCTTCTGATTGGCAAGCCTTAGGCTCTGTGGCCCGATGCAGGTAGCCAGGCTGTTCTGCTGTTCTTGTGGAACCTCCATGCCCAGAGGCAGTCTACCTTGGTTCCTAGGTTCTTAGGGGTATTTGGCCCCTGTGAAGACAGGGTACAGGGTGGGCCCTTTTGGACCTGATCCAGAAGGCCCCTCCTCTGCCCAGGGCCTGCCTGAGCTGCTCTGCTGCTGGAGGGAGGAGGAGGAGAAGGGTGATATTCTGTTCCTCTTTCTAACCTGCGTTGTCCCCCCTCCCTCCTCCTGTTCCAGGTCCCAAAGCCCCCCCTCCCGCCTCCCCCCAGCCTCCTCCTCGCGCGCCACCGCCACTTGCCCCCAAAGACTCCAGCGGCCTCCTGTACGCCGACTTGAACTTGGCCGGAGGCAGAGGCAAGAAGAAGATGCCCGAGGGAGGAAGGGGCGAAGAGAGCACCTATGCCATCCTGCGCCACTGAGAGGGGGCAAGGGACGACTGGGGGGGCGCTTTCCTTGGCTGCCTCCAGCCCCCTTCTGCCCCCAGCCTCCTCCTCTTCCGCTTCCTTCTCCCTCTCCCAGGTGGGAGCGAGCGACCTCCCTTGCAGGATCGGGGCCCTGGGTGGATGGCCTTCTGGCTGCAAGGGGAGCTTGTTGAAGCCGGCCTGCTCTGCAGGGGTGTCGTAAGGAGCCCTGAGACAACGGGGGGGGGGGCCGTACTGTAAACGCTGCCCCCTCTGCTGCCAGCCCACTGCCCCCGAATAATGCCCGAACGAATTATTGCAATATGCAATCACAGCGGCAAGAGATGCGCAGAGAGGGAAAGACAGCTCTGTCAGTCGAGCGTTAGACCCTTGATCTCCAGGTGGTGGGTTCAAGCCCCACGTGGGGCAAAAGATTCCTGCACAGCAGGGGGCTGGACTAGATGATCCTCAGGGTCCCTTCCAACGCCGCGATTCGATGACCTGTTATTATTGCACCCTGTGGAAGAAAGGTTGCTGAAATTAAGGGATTTGGCAGAGATGGCCAAGTGGCCTTTTTGAATTAGAAAAAAATTAAATTGTTGCGCTTATGAATGATTGGAAGCCCCTTATGGACTTCCTGTGCAAAAAAGGAGAACGACGGGTTTGACGACTGAAAAGTTTGGTTTACGGAAAGTAGGAAATTTGCACGTTGTTATGGAGTAAGAGGTCTGCAGTTTTTAAAGCTGATATTTAGAATAAGGTTACCAGACGTCCCCTTTTCCCAGGGACAGTCCCCAGATTTACAAATCAGCCCCCATACAAATCCATTGAAGTTGAAAAGTGTCCCTGCATTCATTGAAAAAAATCTGGTAACCTTAATCTGGTAACCTTAAGTCTTTGCCTTTCCTTTATTTTCTCTCTTGTTGTTGTAAAAAAAAGTGCTTGCTATTAGATGTTGATTTCTGTATGTTGTTTTTTCTTCCGTTTTTCAAACTTTAGTAATAATAATAATAATAAACAGGTTCGGAAATAATAATAAATAATTCCAGTTGGTGGAAATCAGCAGTGAGGAGACTTGTTGTTGCTGCTGCTGCTCTCAGGTCCTCCTCCTGTGAGTGCAGGATGAAGCCCTGGGGGCTTGAGGCCACAGAGAGCAGGGCCTCCAACCTCTCCAGGGAAAGGGGCGGTTTTGGGGGCCAAAACACCATCCCTGTGCACCTTTCTACTTGCATAATAATAAAGTCCCAACGGTTCGTGTGTCTCCATTCCAAATATTTGCAGAGGTGAGGACTGACCCAATAGAGTGGCATTATGGGATGGACCGGTGGAGGGGGGGTCAGGGGAGTCCTGAATCTGGGGCACCTGCCTGGCCACTGGGGGAGAGGCAGGGGGCATCTTGGGCCTGATCCTGCTGCTGCTGCTGCTCTCTTCCTACATTCAAGACACCACACCTCCCTCTGGGGCAGAGGCAAGTGGGGACACAGGTCGGCTGGTAGGGGGCGTCCTGTGAAATCATGGCAAAGGAGTGCCCCTGAGCACGTGCAAAGTGATTCCCTGGAGGCTGTGGCTGGGGTGGTGGCTTCCTTTTTCGGTCTCTGTCCCCTTTAACTTGCTGGGAAGGTGGCGGTGGTTTCTAAAAGAGGCGGGAGGGCCAGGCCACCTGCGAAGGATTCGTCAGCTGCATTGAAGTGGGGCTGGACTAGATGGCCTTTGGGGTCCCTCTCAGCCCCACAATTCTAGGGTTCCTTAGGCCCCTGAATAAAAGCCGGCGTTTCAGCTCCCGAGTCCGCCCAGGCTCGCCCTTCCTTCCCGCACCCCATCCCAAAACAGCCCGCCCGCCTCCTCCCTGCGCTTTTACAGGCGCAAATCCAACCGGAGCAGCTTTTGCCCGGTGGGATGACGGCCTGCCAGGTGAAGCCTGCCTATTTGGGAGGCGGGCGGGGCCGCTGCCCGTCCAATGGGGGCCTGGGGGGCGAGGCGGGGCGGGACTTTGCCCCTGATAAGCCTCCTCTCCGGCGCGGGCGGCGTTTTCTGCCTCCGGTCTCTGCCCCGCGGCGCTCGCGATGCTGGTCCAGTTCGCCCCGCTGCGCCTGCCGCTGCGCCGCCGCCTCCAAACCGCCGCGGTGCTGCAGTGGGTCTTTTCCTTCCTGGCGCTGGGTGAGGTCTCTGCAAAGGGGTGGGGTGCTCCTCCTATGGGGCAAGAACCCAGGGCGCTGCTGCCCTGGGGGGCGCCTTGGGAAGGGGCTGGTTTCGGGGGGCGCTGCCCGAAGGTGGCGAAGAGGCGGGCATCCATTTCGGGGCGGGGGGAGAGGAGACTTCCCTGTGCCTATTTCAGGGGGGGCTTCAGGATGTTCGCTTTCGTGGGGGCTGTGCAATTCCGGGGAACCAAAAAAAGTCGAGGCGGGGAGAGTTTGGCGTCTTTCAAAGAGTTTTTGGGTGCCTTGCTTGGCAGAACGTGCGTTGCCTTGGGGGGGTGTCCCTCCTCCTAGCTCCCCACTAGGAAAGGGGGCGACTCTGCCAGCTTGGCTGAAAGCAGCGTGCAGAATCCGCCCCGCTAAGAGAGTGTCGATTTGGAGGGAGCAGGTAATGAGCTTTGGGTTGGCTGCGCAGGAGGGTGGGAGGGGGGGTTGGAGAGGGGTCTCTTCTGCAGCATCCCATCAGTGTCTGTTCCAGAGCCAAGGCCCCGGCAGAGTGCCTCTGAGCATGTGCAGAGAGAGGTCCCTTTTGCTGGCTGTTTGAGCAGACAATCATTGCCACTTTCTGCTTTGTATAGTTTAACTTTGCATACCAACCTTCGTCTAGGCACGGTTTGCAGCTTAATAATGCAACGTAAAAAAAGGCAAAATAGATAATAAGACAAAATAATAAACAAGAGCAAATACAAAGAAATATATACTTCAAAAGGTATTGGGGGTTAACCAGCCAGAGGCAGAGGCTGAGCTGAGACATGGAGCATGTGCAGAGTGCCTTTCCTTTCACAGTGCGGGGCAGCCCAGCCAGATGGGTGGGGTGTGAATAATAAAATTATTATCATTATCATCATGTTCAAGAGAAACATTTTTATGTATTGTGAAGGAGCAAGCTGAACCTCCCTTGAACGGGACCCCAAGGGGTCATCCAGCCCAACCCCCTTTCAGGCAGGAATCGGCTGTGGTGGAGCAGGGGCTGGTCCCTTTCCCAGCAGCCAACCTCTCGGAGGGGCTTGTGGTGTGGGGTTTGCAGGCATTGTATGTGTCTTGGTTTTCCCGGGTGGGGCGAACGCTGAGGACTAGCCTCTTGAGGGCACCTAACCGAACCCAGGCCTGCCTCTCTCCCCAGCGCAATGCTGCCTGGTCTTGTTCCTCATCTTGCTCCTGGGAGACGGCTGGGTGCTGGCTGTCCTCTACGCCGCCTGGCTGTACCTGGACTGGGAGACCCCGGCCAGAGGGGGACGTCGCTCCAACTGGGTCCGCAACTGGGCTGTGTGGCGCTACTTCCGAGACTACTTCCCCATGACGGTGAGCAGGGCGTGTGTTTGTGTGTGTGTGTGTGTGTGTGTCTTGGGGCTGTGAAATCTGAGGGCTCCCTTGGACAAAAAACAAGGACCCCAGCCAGGAATCCCAGAGCAAGACAGGTCTTGATTGAAGACCCTCGCGACAGGACTCCCACCTGCCACCAGGTGAAACAAGATGGAAGCCCCAAACCAAAGAGCCCCCAAACTTTTATTAGCTGCTAATCCCCAGGTCAGAGGGACGCGGGTGGTGCTGTGGGTTAAACCACAGAGCCTAGGGCTTGCCGATCAGAAGGTTGGCAGTTCGAATCCCCGCAACACGGTGAGCTCCTGTTCCTCGGTCCCAGCTCCTGCCAACCTAGCAGTTCGAAAGCACGTCAAAGTGCAAGTAGATAAATAGCTCTGGTGGGAAGGTAAATGGCGTTTCTGTGCGCTGCTCTGGTTTGCCAGAAGCGGCTTAGTCATGCTGGCCACATGACCTGGAAGCTGGATGCCGGCTTCATTGGCCAGTAAAGCGAGACGAGTGCCGCAACCCCCAGAGTCGGCCACAACTGGACCTAATGGTCAGGGGTCCCTTTACCTTTAATCCCGATGTTACACCCCCCCAAACGACATCACTAATACATCACGGTTACATCATGAAAGGAGAGGTCTGGTGGCCGGAATCTGAGCATCCTGGACCCTGCCCCATGGTTCTTCTTGCCCTCCACCAAACACCCATCAAGTGGAACAATAGAGATCTTTACATTCCCCTGTTTCCCAGCCAAGTTAACCCCACCCTTTTGTCTTCATCTGGGTTTGTTATTTCTGGAATATTGGTCTAGCACTCAGGTATCAGGATGCCAGGGATTATCCCTCAGGCAGAGGGGCTGCTGAGTAGCTGAGCTCACAGGTGTAGATGAATTTCTGAAGTTCCCCCAGTGATCCAGTACAGAGATCCATTGATCAGTGAATTCTTACATTTGGCATCATGCAGCAAAGGCCCTTTGAATAGGCAGGAAGAAACTGTGATGAAGTGTTTTGTGGGGACAAGTCACAAAAGTGATTGTGTTGATTTTGGTAGTGGGCTGCATGTGCATGATATCTGCTGGAGAGGCAAACACCCCCCATGCGTAAATTCCTGCAACAGGGCCTGGCGTGGCCTGTGCCCTCCTTGGCAGGGTGGCGTGCAGGGAATTGCAGCCCGGCTGGTGCCAGACGTCTTGCCCTACTTTCCTTTGGAGGCCAAGGGATCTTGGCGTCTGGGCAGCCCAGGACCTCCAGACACACTGCCCAGGCCTGTGCACTTTGATGCTGCAAACCCAGCGGTTAGACTTCGCCCCAGGAGACAGAGAGATGCCAAAGGCAGGAGTAGGAAGGGGGACCCCAAGGGACATATAGCCCAACCCGCTTGCCTTGCAGGAATTGCAGCTAACCAATCCCTGATCCGGATGGCCAGCCAACCTCTGTTAAAAACCCTCTGCGGAAGGGGAGCCCACTGCCTTCTGGGTCAGTTGAACGCCTTTTGCAAACAAAGTTGTTATATATAAAGTCAAATAAGAGAAATGTGTAACAAATAGAGAATAAATTGGTTAAAGTGATGAAAACCGAATATGCAGAGAGATATAATCTATATATCCTTCCGGCTTCTCCACATCCTCCTCTGGCCACTGCCCGCCTCCCCATGCCCTCGCCGGACTTCCCTCTCTGCCCCACTTGACCTGGGCACAAATTCCACCTCTGTTTGAACAGCAGGAGCAAACATTCAGGAAAAGCCACATTCCTTCTGTCCTGTGGAATAGAGAGGTCTTCCCTGGAGCCCTTCGCAGACCCATAAAAGCTCTGCAGCCCCGTGGGATGGGGGGGTCAGTGTCTGCCCCATATTGGAGAGGTGTGTGGGAGGCGGAGGCTGCAATGACAAGGCTGAGCTGAGACGCTGAGCATGTGCAGAGTGCCTTTCCTTCCACAGTGTGGTGCCGGCGCTGCTGCAGGTGCCTCATAATAACCTCTTTGCATTTGTAAGGAAACCCTGGAACTCCCTGCCTGTTGATATCCGTCAGGCGCTTTTCCAGGGCTCTTTTTGCTGAGAACATTTCTGCTTAGAGCCAGACCTTCAGGATAGGTCAGATATTTAGACCGTGGTGCTGATAACGCCAAGGTTGTAGGTTCAATCCCTGTGTGGCATAGCTGCCTATTCCTGGGGTTGGACTAGATGATCCTTGGGTTCCCTTCCAACTGTTATTCCAAGGCCTGTCCAGATGTTTAGAAAGCCGATGTCTTAATCTGTTTTTAGTTGATTGCTGGCTTTATTATTTGATTGTTCTGAAGAGTTGCTTTTACCAATACTTTTATTGACTGACTCTCTTCAGTTTAGTTGGCCTGGGTGAAGATTTGACGTTTTCATCCCCAAAAAGTTTTTGATTTGAGTTTCTACCGAAATGAGGCTGCATTTTAACGTTGTGTTTTAATCTTGCTTTTATGTTGTATTTTAATCAATTATTTTTATACCTGGTGTTTGCCGCCCTGAGCCCAGTCTTGGCTGGGGAGGGCGGGGTATAAATAAAACTTATTATTATTATTATTATTCACCAATAGCTCTCAGGTTTTGTGTGTGTGTGTGTGTGTGTGTGTGTGTGCGTGCGCAATAAATAAAACCACACAGGTGTGCTGCAGGTTTCCATCTGGGGTCAAAAGTGGGGCTCCCTCAATGGGGCTGGCCCTGGGAACCAGAGAATGGCTTTGAGCCGCAGAATTGTAGGGTTTCGTGGGACCCCCAAAGGTCTTCCAGCCCAACCCTCTGCAGTGCAGGGGTCCAGTGACAACATCTGGGGGAAACACCCAATTCATTGCGGGGTCACCAAATAGTCCTCTCCCCTTACCACCTTTGGGTGCCTTCCCCTGCCCGAAAAGTGGGGTATGTGTGTGAGGAATGTCCCCTGCCTGCCTTCTTGCCCCCTTGCGCTGCCTGCCCCCCCATGTTTCCGGCTGCTTCCTCACCCTGCCCCCCTCTTTCTCCCCCCGCCCCACGGCAGCTGGTGAAGACGGTGGATCTGGACCCCTCGCGCAACTACCTCTTCGGCTTCCACCCCCACGGAGTGCTGGTGGCTGGCGCCTTCGGGAACTTCTGCACGGAGGGCACCGGCTTCTCTGCCCTCTTCCCGGGACTCACCTCACACCTGCTGATGCTCCCCTTCTGGTTCAAGGTGCCCTTCTTCCGAGACTACATCATGAGCGGCGGTGAGAGGCTTGGGGGGCCCGGGCAGGGGGCTGCCGGGCTTGGGTGGGTGTGGGGCAAGAGGAACCTCCACGTGCCATTACATGAATTGAATATTGCATGAGGTTCTGGTCGCCTCGCCTTGAAAGATATCGAGGGGAGATGTTCAGGAGGAGATGATGGAGCGACTCGCCTATGAGGAAAGGGGGGGCTTTTAAGCTTAAAGGCAAGCAAGAGGCTATGAAATCATGCGTGGCATGGAGAAGGTGGATATAATAATAATAATAATAATAATAATAATAATAATAATAATAATAATATAATAATTAATATTGAATTGATTTTAAAATGAATTGATTTTAGAATGTTGTTACTTTTATTGTTGGGACACGGGTGGCGCTGTGGGTAAAACCTCAGTGCCTAGGACTTGCCGATCGCAAGGTCGGCAGTTCGAATCCCTGCGGTGAGGTGAGCTCCCGTCATTCGGTCCCTGCTCCTGCCCACCTAGCAGTTTGAAAGCACCCCTAAGTGCAAGTAGATAAATAGGTACCGCTTTATAGCGGGAAGGTAAACAGCATTTCTGTGTGCTGCTCTGGTGCTGGGTCGCCAGAGCAGCTTCGTCACGCTGGCCACGTGACCCGGAAGTGTCTCCGGACAGCGCTGGCCCCCGGCCTCTTAAGTGAGATGGGCGCACAACCCCAGAGTCGGACACGACTGGCCCGTACGGGCAGGGGTACCTTTACCTTTACCTTTACTTTTATTGTTAGCCACTCTGAGCCCAGCTTCGGCTGGGGAGGGCGGGATATAAATAAAATTTCATTATTATTATTATTATTATTATTATTATTATTATTACTATTACTACTACTACTATAATTTATTGTTTGTAGGCCACCCTTCCGACTGGGTTGCCCTACCCACTCTGTGGGGGCTTAACAGCAAATTAAAACAGCACGGAGGAAAGTTTTTCTTCCTTTCTCAAAGCCCTGGGACTTGGGGGAAGCTGAATGTGGGAAGGTTCTGCATACAGAAAGGGAAATCCTTCTTGTAGCACAGACTGTGGAACTCCCTGCCACAAGAGGCGGGGATGGCTACCAAGTTCGTTGTCTTTAGAATTGTAGAGTTGGAAGAGGGAGCTCTTTCTCTCTCTCTTTCCCCGCAGGGCTGGTTTCCTCAGACAAGAGCAGCGCCGCCTACCTCCTTGGCCACGAAGGCGGGGGCCAGGTGGCCGTGATCGCTGTTGGGGGGCCTCCCGAGTCGCTTGACGCCCGACCCGGAGCTCTGACCCTCCAGCTCCGCAGCCGCAAGGGCTTCATCAAGATGGCGCTGCAGCACGGGTGAGTTTGGGGGCGCAATGCAGTGGGTGGGAGGGGGGTCTTGCACTGGCCCATGTGGGTCCCCCTCCCTGGGTGGGAGAGGCGGGACCGCAGGAGGAATGGACTTCGGTTTGCAGGTGTGGTCCATCCCCTCTGTTGTTGCTCCTCGTGACTTGTCCGTAGCAAAATTCAGCCTTTCCCCTGCCCTGATCAAGCCAGGCTCTTTTTAAATATAATTATATTAAGGCTTTTCAACATGCAATTTAAAAAAAAACAAAACAAAACAGAAGCAAAACAAAATATATCGGAAAGAGAACGAAGAGGAAAGCAAGAGGAAAGAGAGATAGGAATAATAACAGGAGAGAGGGAGGGAGAAGTGAGGGGGGGGAAGTATTTGATCCCCTGCTAAATTTGCCCCTCTGACGAAGAAATGACCCGTCCATCATTTTAATGGTAGGTTTATTGTAGCTGTGAGAGACAGAATAACAACAGGAAAACCCCCAGAAGACAAAAGTCAGAGATTGATGTGCATTATAAATGAGTGAAATAAGTATTTGATCCCCAATCAACCAGCCAGATGTCAGGCTACCCGGTATCTTCACAAATACATATTTCATGCACCACCCTGCGCCCCATTGCTCATTCTCTCTCTCTCTCTCTCTCTGCCCCCATTTCTCCCTCCCTTCCAGAGCTGCCCTGGTCCCCGTCTTCTCCTTTGGGGAGAACGAGCTCTTCAACCAGGTCTCCAACCCCCAGGGCTCCTTCATCCGGGCAGCGCAGGAGCGGCTCCAGAAGGCCATGGGGCTGGCGCTGCCCCTCTTCCACGCCAGGGGGGTCTTCCAGTACAACGTTGGGCTCTTGCCGTTCCGGAGGCCCATCTACACCGTCGGTGGGTAGAGCGCGGGGGCAGTGTGGGGGTCTCCCAGGTGGGCTTGGCCTGTTTGCCAGCAGAGCGGACTCCCTTGGAAAGCTGACAATCCGCCAGCCTGGGACTCTTTGGCCGCCATCTCTGCATTGCAGCGGGTTGGTCTAGATGGCCTCTGGGTGTCCAACCCAAACCGCATACGGTTCTTTGCTTCTGCGACCTTGGAAGGCGGTGGGCTCTCCTTCACAGGAGGCTTTTAATCAGGAATTCTTTGGCTGTCACTCCCTGCATTTGAGAGGGTTGGGCTGGATGACCTCCAGGGAACCCCTTCCGACTCTACAGTTCTGTGCAAAGCCATTTTTGGACGAGGCCGGTGGGGCCTCCCCTCCTAACCACCCAACCTGGGCCTCTTCTGCCTGCCCCACGGCACCTCTCGTCTCTGCCCCACTTTGCTCCTGGGCTGATGCAACACATACACACCCCCAACGCTGACCTCTGTGCCGTCCCTGCCTTTTGCAACCCCCCCCCCCCTGGGCCTTCCTGGCAGCAGAGCTGTCGCGCTGGACTTTGGCCTTGGCAGAAGGGGGGGATTTCGGGCTGACTCAGCTTGCTGCAACTCCCGGGTGTGTGTGTGTGTGTGTGTCTCTTTGCAGAAGCCAAAAACCGGACCTTTTGACACCCCCCCCTTTGGCGGAGAAAGGCTAACCCTCCCTCTGCCGCCTTCCTTTCCCAGTCCCTGCCCAGACTTTTTGCTGCAAGCTTCCATATTTGTGACCCGAATGCTATGGGGGTGGGGGTGGGGGGAAGGGCTGGTGCCTTTGCCTTGGGATAGAACTGTAGCATTGGGAGAGCCCCCAAAAGGTCCTCTAGTCCAGCCCCCTTTCACAATGCTGGAGTCGTAGCTAAGGAATCCCTTGCCCCAGCAGCCCCCTTAGCCTGGGGTGTGAGTGTGTGTATGTGGATTTTATTGGGGGGGGGGCAGTCAGGCACTTGGCTGTGCAACTAGCATCCTTCAGGGCCGAATCCTGGCCTTGCCCGCTGAGTCCTGCTCTAACCACTTAGCCAGCAGAGGAGTTTGTTGTGACCCTAAAAGAAGCCGTCAGTGTGTGGGGGGGGAGGTAACCCCAAGGGAAATGAGTTGCATGGGACCCCCAGGGGTCATCCAGACCAACCCCCTGCAACCTGGGACAAGACAAGCAGCTGGAATACTTCTTGGTGCCGAGTTCGAGCACTAACACACTCTCTGCCTCCCACCCACAGTGGGGGCCCCGATCCTCGTGCCCAAGACCCCCCACCCGTCATCCGAGGCCATCGACGAGCTGCACAAAACTTACCTGGAGAAGCTCAACCAGCTCTTTGAGGAGAACAAGGCCGCATACGGCCTCCCCGAAGACAGGCACCTCGAAATCGTGTAGGGCAGCGTGGGGGAGAGAAACCCTTGGACACCCTCCCACCCCGAAAGAAATCCCCTGTGGGGAGAGGACGGGGTGTCACAGCCTATTTCCTGGACTGCATGAAGGGGTTTCTGGCGAAGGAGATGGATAAGGAACCATTCCAATACTGGGGGGTCCCCCAGTCTCAGGAGGGGGGGCACCCTGATTTTTGACCCTTGAAGGATTCCAGGGAAGGAGGTGGAGGGGGGGGTAATGTGCACTTAAATGGGGGGGAGCTGGATAATGGCTGCTTTTATGAAAGCTGTATATTTGCCTCCTGGGGGGTAGCTCCCTGTTCTGTGCCTGCCTGAACCAAGGGGGATGTGGGTTGCCCCCCCCCATGTATGAAATGCTCCTTCAGCCTCTAAGCATTCCCCCCCCCCCGTTCTCCTTCTGCAGAAGTAATAAAGGGCAGAATTGTCTTTTCAAAATGATGTGCGGTGCAGGGTTTGTGCAAAAGTTGCCTGCCCTCCTTGCCCCCTTTACCTGGTTCAGAGATGGGCTGCCACCTTCTTCTCCTACTGCCCCCCCCCCAATCCACTCCTGAAAAATACAGCATGGAGAAAGCGGCATGGATGAAATAGTCGCATAGTGCAGAGTTTAACTGCGGAACTCCCTCAGGCTGTCGATGGCGCCTAGCCAGGAGGGCTCTGGTCTGAATGCCAGAGCCTGAGAACGAGGAAGGGAGGTTTGTGGGTTTCTCAGCTGGCAGCGCACGATATTCCTAATCTCAGGGTTGTGGGTTTGAGCCCCGCCTTGGGCAAAAGATTCCTGCCTTGCAGAGGGTTGGACTAGAGGACCGCCAAGGTCCCTTCTGATTCTATGATACCTGTTCAGCTACTGTGGGGGCAGGATGCTGTGCTAGGTGGGCCATTCGCCAGATTCAGCAGGCTCCTCTTATGGAGGCCTTTTCTTGCAGCTGACCCTCCATGCCCAGGAACAGTCTACCTGTGAATACCAGATAACGGGGGAACCACAGTTGCAGAAGACTGATGCCCTCAAGTCCTGCTTGCTGGCATATCATCGGCCCCTGGCCTCATCTGCCTCTGTCTCTTTCCCCTCCTGAGCTTTGTGACAGATAGTGGCATTGCTCCCCCTTCCAGAACCTCGCTTGACCTATCCAGCTGTTCCAAAGGCCATGTCGGAAAATGGATCCCAGGAGAGGCTGTGGCGGTGGCAGCCTCCTCTAAGGCTAAGAATAACCTTTCTTGCCCAAGGGCTGGCTGGCTGGGGAGGTGCGGAGAGGCCTAAAGCAGATGATTACTGGCTGCATGCAGAGTCACGAAATTGTAGAGCTGGAAAGGGACCCTGGGGTCATCTAGTCCAACCCGCTGCAATGCAGGAATCGCAGCCGAGAGCCGAGCCAGAGCTGGCATCCTGCAGGCGGCTTAACACAGCTCTTCAACTCTGTTGGATGAGAAGGAAGGCTGCTCTGTGCATGCTCAGAGGCATCCTTGGCTAAGCATTGCATGCACTGAGCAAAGGTGGTCAAATAGGTTCAGGGGTGAAGCCCAAAAGCTTGGGATGGGGAAGACCCTCCCTCCTCCTTGCTATTTGATGCTGGCAAATACATTTCGGGGTGCAAGTTGGAATGGGGGGGAGTGTTTAATTCCCCAGCCCCCCCAGCTTCAACTGGACAAATGTGGATTTAATACACTAGATTCCTCCCCACCATGATTTAAATGTTGCCAAAGGAGATTTAAAGCTCCCAGCTTAGAACCCTCAGTGGAACCAAACAAGAATCCTTAAATTGTAAAGTTGGAAGGGACCCCAAGGGTCATCTAGTCCAACCCCTTGCAATGCAGGAATCACAGGTGAAGAACCCTCTGGCAAGTGACCCCCCGGCCTCTGTTTAAAAGCCTCCAGAGAAGGAGAGTCCACCACTTCCTGAGGGAGTCCACCATGGAACAGCTCTTGCTGCCAGAAAGTTTTTCCTGATATTTACAGGTGAAACTTGGAAAATTAGAATATTGTGGAAAAGCTCATTTATTTCAGTAATTCAACTTAAAAGGTGAAACTAATATATGAGATAGACTCATGACATGCAAAGCGAGATACATCAAGCCTTTATTTGTTATAATTGTGATGATCATGGCGTACAGCTGATGAAAACCCCAAATTAACAATCTCAGAAAATTAGAATATTAAATGAAATCAGCAAAACAAGGACTGCAAATAGAGCAATATTGGACCTCTGAGAAGTAGAAGCATGCATACGTACTCAGTACTTGGTTTGGGCCCCTTTTGCATCAATTACTGCCTCAATGCGGTGTGGCATGGATGCTATCAGCCTGTGGCACTGCTGAGGTGTTATGGAAGACCAGGATGCTTCAATAGCAGCCTTCAGCTCTTCTGCATTGCTCGGTCTCATGTCTCTCATCTTTCTCTTGGCAATGCCCCATAGATTCTCTATGGGGCTCAGGTCAGGCGGGTTTGCTGGCCAATCAAGCACAGTAATCCCAGGGGCACTGAACCAGGTTTTGGTACTTTGGGCAGTGTGGGCAGGTGACAAAGTCCTGCTGGAAAATGAAGCCAGCATCCCCATAAAGCTCGTCTGTGGAAGGAAGCAGTTTCACCTGTAGTCGGATTCCCCTTGTCATTTGGATCGGTTGAATTATGGAGCAGCAGCAGAAGACTCTTCCCTTCCACCTTCATTGGGGACACATTCCTCTTCCTTTGCCAAGATTCCTTGCCGGAGGGCGGAATTGGAGAGTTGTGCAGAGAGAGATCTGCCTCCACATCCTGAGAGCCAGCCAACAGGTGCTGGTGATGAAATGATCTGTCTGCCATGGGGAGCAGAAAAAATGCCCCCAGCCCCACCCTAGAGACTTGTGCTGCCTCAAGGTTCGCTCATCGTTCAGATTAAGATCAGAGGCAGCCACCAGGTTAAGTAAACACAAAGAGGATGCTAAGTCTGAGGTCAAAGACCAGGCAATAAATCACACCGGTCAAAGATGGAGTTAACTCTTTATTAGCAGAGCCACGATGTGCACAGAGTTTGTAGGGAGCCAGGCCTCATGAGCACAGCCTCTCAACCCCAGTAGGTCTTGCCCCATGGACCAGTTGCCTCCCCACAGCCACCTAAGTCCCCTCCTCTCCAGGGCTTTCTTTTTGCAAGCAGTCGGAGACTGTGCCAGCACGCAGCCCACCTCTCCTACGCCCTCTTCATGCCTCTCCTGGTTCTGGGAGACCCTGAAAAGAGGGGAGCTTGTTGCAGCAGCAGGAGACACCTGTGACCTTTCGCCATCTGACTCATCTCTGCCTCTTGGCCTTCTTCCTCTCCTGCCTCTGCACTTCTAGAGGACTCCCTGCTCCTGAATGGGGCAACTGTGCCCCTGAAGGACCAGGTGCGCAGCCGGGGAGCCATTTTGGACTCACAGCTGTCCATGGAGGCGCAGGTCAATTCTTTGTCCAGGGCAGCTGTCTACCAGCTCCATTTGGTACGCAGGATGAGACCCTCCCTGCCCCAGACTGTCTTGCCAGGGTGCATGCTCTGGTTATCTCCTGCTTGGACTACTGTCATGTGCTCTATGTGGGGCTACCTTTGAAGGTGACCCGGAAACTGCAATTAATCCAGAATGCGTAAGCAAGAGTGGTGAACTGGGAATGGCCGCCAAGACTACAAAACACTGGTTCTGAAAGACCTACATTGGCTCCCAGTATGTTTCCGAGCACAATTCAAAGTGTTGGGGCTGACCTATAAAGCCCTAAAAGGCCCAGTATACCTGAAGGTGTATCTCCACCCCCATTGTTCAGCCCGGATACAGAGGTCCAGCTCAGAGGGCCTTCTGGCGGTTCCCTCCCTGCGAGAAGTGAGGTTTCAGGGAACCAGGCAAAGGGCCTTTTCGGTGGTGGCGCCTGCCCTGTGGAACACCCTCCCACCGGATGTCAAGGAAATAAGCAGCTATCTTCTCTTTAAAAGACATCTGAAGGCAGCCCTGTTTAGGGAAGTCTTTTATGTTTGAAGTTTTGCGTTTTTTTTTATATTCTGTTGGGAGCTGCCCAGAGTTGCTGGGGGGGGGGGCTGCCAGATGGGTAGGGTATAAGTAATAAATTATTTTCTGCCATAGACTCCCCCTGCTCACTAAGCCCCGTCACCCTTTCTGCTTCCAACACCTCCTCTTCCCTGTCTTTTCCCTCTGGCCACTCATCGCCATCCCACTCCCTGGGGGGGCTCTGAGCCTTCTTCCCATGGGGGGGGGTCTTCCCAGGTGCCGCAACAGGGTTCCTACTTCCAGCGACAAGAGGAAGAGAGACCCCCCTGTAGTAAGAAACTTCTGGCTGGCTTTTACAGCCCATATCCCCATCCAAGGGAATTTGCGTCCCTCAAGCTCAGCTGTCGGTCAGAGATATACATACATGGAAGTCCCCACAGAGGAAGAATGGATACAAAAACTTATGGAATATGGAAGAAGAAATCAAGATAAGAAACTTTTTATAGAAGAATGGAAATGGTTTATTGAATATTTACAGATAAACTGCAAACAGATAAAAACCATCAGCAGGATTGTTGTAATGACCTGCAGTTTGAGAAGAGTATATATTTAAAATAGGTGAGCAAATTAAATGAATTTGCATATGCAGAAGATATAATAATAGTTTTAAGGAACCGCATGGAGGGGGAAGGAAGTCTTGATTCCCCACCCCCATGGTAAATCTTTATTGGTTTAAAATACAAATACAGATAATTTACAACGAAGGAAGTTTTGAAATGTTAAAATGATTGTGAAACTAAGGAAATGTATAAACCTGAAAAGGACACAAACTATTGATCTTTATTGGCCTGGTAGCAGTGTCTCCCTGCCCACAAAGGTGTGTAACACCTTTTAAAACCTCAGAAAGTATCCCCCCATATTTGGCAGAAAGGCCCCCCCAAACCACAACAAAATGTCAAGGAAGGAAGAATTGGCGAGCAAAATTTGAGGGCCTGACTTCCCACCTGTCCATTAGGATCCTTGATAATGGTCCTTCCTAGTACATCCTTTAGGAATGGCAAAAGTACTGTGGCCCCAGAGATGATTGCCACCCCATTCATTCCTGCTTTGCAAGTCTGCTCTATTTTTGGCAAGCACCTGTCAGACAGGTGATCCATGGAGGAGTTCCTGCCTCCCAGGAGAGAGAGAGGGTCTTCTAGATTCAGCAAACACTTCATTTAGACACAAGCTGGAAATGGAGTAATAATTGACCCCTTGCTGGCTGACGGATAAGGTGTCAGCAAGCACAATTTTGTAAGGCTGCAGTAGCAGCAGGAGCTCTTGTAGGGGCCGCTCTTGCAAAGGAAAAATATGGTCATTTTAAACTTTAAAGGGGATGTCATGTTTTGGTGCTTGGGGACGTGTGATAATGCACTTAGGTAAAGGTACCCCTGCCCGTACGGGCCAGTCTTGACAGACTCTAGGGTTGTGCGCCCATCTCACTCTATAGGCCGGGGGCCAGCGCTGTCCGGAGACACTTCCGGGTCACGTGGCCAGCGTGACAAGCTGCATCTGGCGAGCCAGCGCAGCACACGGAACGCTGTTTACCTTCCCGCTAGTAAGCGGTCCCTATTTATCTACTTGCACCCGGAGGTGCTTTCGAACTGCTAGGTTGGCAGGCGCTGGGACCGAACGACGGGAGCGCACCCCGCCGTGGGGATTCAAACCGCCGACCTTTCAATCGGCAAGCCCTAGGCGTGAGGCTTTAACCCACAGCGCCACCCGCGTCCCAATGCACTTAGGTTCCTGCATTTATTTTTTGGGACTTCAATTTCTTATACTGCCCTGAAGAAAGTACACTTTTCACCCAGCCGTTATCGAAACCCCCACCCCCACAAAAAGTGGGAGAAATGTAATAGAAAAAGGAGAAATTTGAGTGCATGGTTTCCATCAGGACATTTTGAGTGCCAATGTCTCTGGCTGCTTCTCGCATTTTGATGCCTATTTGCATTTCCTTTTGCAATTTCAATTCCTGAAACCAGGTCACAGGCTCACCCTATTTATACGCAAATACAACCTTAAGACAGGTAAGCAAAAGACAGAGCAGGGATCCTCAAACTTTTTAAACAGGGGGCCGGTTCACTGTCCCTGAGACACTATTGAGGGCCAGACTATAGTTCTAAAAAATGAACGAATTCCTGTGCACACTGCACACATCTTATTTGTAGTGCACTAAAAACAGGAAAAATACAAAATATAAAATGAAGAACAATTTTAATCAACATAAACTTATATTTCAATGGAAATTATGGGTCTGCTTTTGGCTAATGAGATAGCGTCCGGTTCTATTTTTGTCACGGCTAGTCGTAGCAAGTGATGCAAGTGTCCACCAGTTAGTCTGGGTCCGGTTGGGGATTTCAGATGTTTCATTTGGGGAAAAGTCTGTTCACAGACATAGGTGCTGCCAAAGATGGTTGTAAATTTGAGTGCATGATTCCTGAGATTCAGATATGTCTCAGAGGGGAGAGATGCATAGAAATTAGTGAGCCTGCTTGATTTGAATGCATCTTTCAGAGAGTCACAATTCTGTAGTTCGATCAATTCCATTTTGCAAATTGGATCAGCAGTTTCAAAGTCAACAGAAAATGGGTTCTGGGAAAGCTGTATGCCCTGCTCATGGGTGTGAAGCTCTTTAAATCGAGTCTGAAACTCCTTTTGCAACATTTCCAGTAAATCCACACGTTTCGTGGGGAGATGGCAGAAGTTTTCCTCCTTCACTTGTTTAAAGAGGTCTAATTTTGCTTGAAACGCTTTCACAAGTGAAAACATATCACAGATGAGCTTCCCCTTTCCTTGAAGCTGAACACTGGAAACTGTTCAGTGTTTATGTCTGTCAGAAAGGCAAGGTGCCATTTCCATTCTGCCAACATGGGGATTCAGGGCACAGTTCGAAAATGGTTATGCTCCTTTATCTCAGGTCGGGGACAGAGGGTGCCGCTAGGGAGGGAGTTGTCGCTGCAGCACTCCTTGGTGTGTGGAGTTCCGCAGGGCGCAATCCTTTCACTGATGCTTTTTAATATCTTTATGCGCCCCCTTGCCCAGATTGTCCGGAGCTCTGGGCTGGGTTGTCATCAATATGCTAATGACACCCAGCTTTATCTCGATGGACAGCTGCCCTGACTCGGCCCCAGACACACTGACCAGATGCTTGGAAGCTGTGGCTGGATGGTTGCATGGGAACCGGTTGAAGTTAAATCCTTCAAAGACAGAGGTCCTCTGGCTGAGTCGGGGTGACTTGGGGTTGGGGGGCCAAATCCCATCTCTTGCGGGGGCTCAATTAGTGCCAGCGCCTTCTGTCAAGA